GGAAGGGGAGGGCGGAGGGAAGGTGGCGGGGAATCGGGCACCACAAGGCGCGGCAGCAGTGCAAGGAGACGCTGTGGTGTTGCTGGCTAGCAGCAGCAGTGAGGCAGCAGGTGGGGGTGCGCCAAGAGGGAGCAGTGAGGCATTGCAGAGGCGTGAAGAACCTCCGCGGAGTAAGGTACTGCCGGGGAGTGAGGTACTGCTGGGGAGTGAGGTACTGCCGGGGAGTGAGGCAAGAGAGCCAAGTGATGGCGAGCTGCTCAGTGAAACGAAGGACATGGCAGTGGCTGAGAAAGGCATCACTCGCTCTGTAGCTGACACCAACGGCACCGACAGTGAAGCTGGGCCCTCCCGTATGAGCACCACAGCAGCGACAGACAGCAATCTGCAGCAGCTCGAGACAGTGACGGGAGCAGCAGAAGAAGGCGGCAGCGAGGAGCATGAGGATGAGGACGAGGACGAGGCGTGCATTCCAGACATCGATGAGGTGAGAGCAGGCGAGGTGAGAGCAGGCGAGGTGAGAGCAGGCGATGTATGTGCATACAGTCATGAAGCATGCGAACGCTGTCATGAAGCATGCGAACGCTGTCATGAAGCATGCAAATGCTGTCATGAAGCATGCGCATGCAGTCAAATGATGGCAGGAAAGCTGCCTAGTCTGAACCTGGACAACATATGACTGCCCTTACTCTCGACTTTAGGTTACTACTACCTAGCTTTGTTTCGTTAAGTTTTTTTCTGAACTACTCCTTCAAGTTTCTGTGTGCATTCGACTGTATTGTGACTGCTTTGTGCCTGCGCTGCACTGCACTGCACTGCCTGTGCAGGTCTTTGCGGAGTTGAGCAGCCACAGCCTGCCTCCCCCGCAGCAGATTGCGGCTGGTCCTAGCCCCCTCGCGGCCACAGCAGCCTTCCAGCACACTCCCAATCAGCCACAAGGCGAGTTTACAGCACGCTGGTTAGACGTGGGCCCCCATAACTCCAGCACACCATGTCTTCCTTCCATGGGACCTTCTCTTTCCTATGAAAGGTTGCCCCAACTACCCAGGGCTCCTGCACACGTCGATCTCCCAGCTGCATCTCCGGCAGGCGTTGGTGATGTTGCCCCATGCGGGCTGGAAGGTCAAGCTCCTCCTTCAGAGGAAGAATGGGACTGGGAGTTTGTATGAGCTTGGATGAAGCACCTTGTAAATATATGCATATCTGCAAGATGGCTCCTGCTTGCTGCATTCTAGCGCCATCATGTCCAGGCTTTTACGCTAGAATTCTATAGTCTATCTTGAGACAGGCTTGTGCATCTTGATGCACAAATTAGGTATTTGTTGATACAATACCTTTAATGCGGTATTTTTTTATTACCATCCCCCCAAAATATGACCTAGATGCATTGGTTGAACACTCAGCAGAGCAGAGAGACCATACCATAACTCACCTCCCACATGGTACCAATTGGTTGTGAGGGGCTTGCTTTGACCACATGGTTTTGACCTCTCACATCTGAATACCGTACATGCAGTCACTTTCCGGGTTAGATTTATTCATTTTAAACGTAAGAGTCAATGCATGTGCTATTTATTATTTTTTTTCCCTTGTTTTGAGATCTCATAATCCAATTACCCCACGAAGTTCAGTGTATGCAATAAATCAAAGAATCGTGGAAAACACGTATTTACAATAAATGGGTTTCACCAACCTTGTTACGGCGACAACTTCACATTTCGGTTCTCGGGGCTCTCCGGGTGCCACGTGAGCGGCTCACAGCCACGCCTCTGTTATCCTCGAGCGACCGCAATGTCCGAGGGTGACGTGGAAAGGTCTCCCCACATGAGCCTCTTGAACCAAATCCCTTCGAAACTGCACTTTCATGAATAGCATTCCAGTCAACCACATGCCCAAAAGCACGAAGAACAACCCCAGCCTTTTATAGCAAAATAGCAGCCTTTTATTTACATCTCCAACGCGACATCGTCCGCCATGGCTGCCCTCACTCAACCCGCCGCCCTGCAGACTAGCTGGCCGCAGCCTCTTCTAGGAGGGCGACGCCTATTGTCCACACGGCAGGTAGACCACCAGTCGCTTCGTTCGGCTCCCCGTCGTGCTTCCACTGCATCATGCGGTCGCATCTCGCCGCTTTCTAGCTCCCCTCACTCGGATCCCGTCTTTTCTCTCGTGGCAGGTGAAGGTGGCGGTGCGGCCGCTCAATGCGCCGAGCGGCAGGACGGCGGCAGCGCCCGTGACGAGGGCGTCCGCCATCATGGACTACGTCTCCGACATGAGCCGCGCCGGTATGACACGAGCCGCGCCGGTACGACGTGAGCCGCACAGGTAGGGTATGAGCCGCGCGGGTATGACATGAGCCGCGTGGGTAGGATGCGAGCGGCGCAAATAGGATGCAAGCCGCGCGGATAGGATGTGAGCAGCGTGGGTAGGGTACGAGCCGCGCGAATACGTTCGAATTGAGCTGGTACAGTATAAGCCGAACAGGTGCGGTATAAGCACAGGAGTACGGTACGAGCAGTGCCTTTAGAATAGGAGTCGAGATTGTAAAACAAGTGGCCAGTGGGTACACATCTGCTGCGGCGCCTCTAGTCGAATTTGTGATGACTCTGCGGCGTTGCTGTTCCGCACGCCGCCCAGAATCTTAGTGTCTCGCTGCAATTTGTTTTTGAGTCCTATTAATTCCCCTCGTCTCTCGCCTTTCCCTCCTCGGTGCGCGGCAGCGCCCAAGGGGCTGTTCCCGCCGGAGCCCGAGAAGTACACGGGGCCGAAGCTCAAGGTGGCCATCGTGGGCGCGGGGCTGGCCGGCATGTCCACCGCCGCCGAACTGCTCGACCAGGGCCACGAGGTGAGCTGATGGAATGTGGAGCAAATGAACCGAAATACGCGGTACGGCAGCTGTTAAGTGCTTCTGGCTCTTTACACAAATAGTACGCTGCATGTGGTGTGATAACTCTGTAGCGAGGCGAACCTCATTCAAGTTGCTCGAATAAGTTTCTCACGCTAATAGAACCTTCGACATGCCATGCTCGGGCATGCGCCGGATGCGTGGGGAATTCGCGGGCATGGGGGATGTGCGTTCGTGGGGGGAGTGCGCTGTGCGCGTGTGGGGAGCGAGCGTGGATGCGAGCAGGTGGACATTTACGAGGCGCGGCCGTTCATAGGCGGCAAGGTGGCGAGCTTTCAGGACAAGGACGGCAACCACATCGAGATGGGGCTGCACGTCTTCTTCGGCTGCTACAACAACCTCTTCCGCCTCATGGCCAAGGCAAGCCCACGCCCACCCTCTTCCGCCTCATGGCCAAGGCAAGCGCACCCTCTTCCGCCTCATGGCCAAGGCAAGCGCACCCTCTTCCGCCTCATGGCCAAGGCAAGCGCACCCTCTTCCGCCTCATGGCCAAGGCAAGCGCACCCTCTTCTCGCCTCATGGCTGCAACGCTTGTCACCATTGGCAAACGAACGAAAGTCATTCACATGTATGTCCCTCCCCGGTCGCTCGCATGTGCAGAGCGGGGCGGTGAACAACCTGCTGCGCAAGGAGCACACGCACGTGTTCATCAACAAGGGCGGCGTCACTGGCGGTGAGATTCGTGCCCGCCGCCCACCCCTTCCATCACCCACGCTCGTTTCATCTTGCAGTCTCGTTGTTTGGTTTGATGGAGAATCGGCTCAAGCCATGACGCGCGCCTCCTCTCTCCTCTCTCCTCGCTCCATATAGCTGGTTCGTTCCTTCTTCATTCCTCCTTGTATCCTCCCCTCACCGTCCCGTCCCCCATCCCGCTCCCCCACCCCACGCGTCCGTCTTGCATGACATGGCATGGCGTACGCAGAGCTGGACTTCCGGTTCATAACGGGCGCGCCCTTCCACGGGCTCAAGGCATTCTTCACCACCAACCAGCTCTCGGTCAGCCGCCCCTCTCACACCCCTGTATCACCCCGCCTCTCTCTCTGCACGACTCGCTGAATGCTGCTGCCCAGCCTGAAATGCACCCCTTCATACTACATTTGCGCTCCACTCCAGTGAGGCTGCACTGTGTTAGGCACTTGTGGCTCCATGATAGGCGATGCTCTGGCGTTGATGATACGTTCCCCGTCACATTGCATCATCGCGTGTGCCCTCCCCCCCCGCGCCCATGCATGTGGCATGGCATGTGTGCGCGGTGCAGCCGGTGGACAAGGCGTTCAACGCGCTGGCGCTGGCCACGAGCCCCGTGGTGCGCGCGCTGGTGGACCCCGAGGGCGCCTTCCAGGACATCCGCGACCTTGACAAGGCAAGGCACGCCGTGCTGCCATCCCCCACCCCTCCCCCACCCCCACCCATACCCCAACCCACCCCACCCACCCACTCGCCCCCCCACCTCGGTTATGCTACTCCTTGCTCTCTCACCTTGTTGAGAGTAGCACAGGCATTTGCATCCCTTTCCGCTGGTTCAACAGCTGTCATTTCAAACACGGGCTGGTCTCACCTTGTGCCTCGCCTCTGTACATGGAGGGCATCTGGCTGAGCAGGTGAGCTTCAGCGAGTGGTTCACATCCCACGGTGGCACGAGGGAGAGCATCAAGCGCATGTGGGACCCGGTGGCGTACGCGCTGGGGTTCATAGACTGCGACAACATCAGTGCGCGCTGCATGCTCACCATCTTCGCCTTCTTCGCCACCAAGACCGAGGCCTCCGTGCTGCGCATGCTCTGCGGCTCGCCCGACCGCTTCCTCGCCGGCCCCATCGCCAAATACATCACCGACCGTGGGGGGAGGTGAGCCATGGCACGGACGGACATAACCGACTGCAGAGGCACGCACGTGTGGGGAATGCGGAAGAGGAAGGAAAGCTGTGGGAATGTTATAAACTGTGGAAATGATACCCTCAGCTCAGCTGGGAGGTGTTGGGATGAAATCCGAGCAAGCAAGCAAGCACCTTCACTGTTTCTACCCAAAGTCGAATTGTGGCACCTACGTTGTCGTCACATTGACAGCTGGGAGCTGGATTGTGGAGGGTGAGCGTTGGGGCAGTGGAGTGGAGAGGATGAGGTGGGGAAGGTGGGCGGGTTGGCGGGGGAGCATGATGAATGGCGTGGCTGGCCTGAGCCCACCCGCACTGCCGTGCCGTCCACTTGCCCCCCCCCCCCCCCCCCCCCCCCCCCTTGCATGAGCAGGTTCCATGTGCGGCAGCCGTGCCAGGAGGTGCTCTACTCCACTGCTGCTGATGGCTCCACCGTTGTCACTGGCCTGCGCATGAAGCAGGTGAAGGGAGGGGGGGGCAAGGGGACGATGCAGGTGGGAAGGGGGGGCGAATGGGCAGGTGTATGCAGTGCAGTGGCATGGTGGAATCCATTACTTTCATGCCAGCTGAGCTATTCACTGTGGCTATCTTCCCATCCCATGTGCTGCGAACCTTTGTCTTCCCTATCCTATGCCCCGCTGCCTGCTGTGCTGTGCGTGTGCTGGCAGGCGGGAGGCAAGGAGCAAATAGTGACGGCCGATGCCTACGTTGCTGGTGTGTGCATGGGAGGCTTGTTGGTGCTTTGGAATGGAATGGATTGCTTGTTGGCTGGGTTTTCCATATGGAAGGCACGATGCGGGTCTGCCATCCAATTAAGCATACAGAACATTGTACGTGCCCTGCCGCTGTACTCTGCATCAGCTTTCTCCCGTCATTCTCATGCTCCTCCTCATTTCCTCCCTGTCTTCCCCCCAACCAGCGCTGGACGTGCCGGGGGCGAAGAGGCTGGTACCGGGGGAGTGGAGGGAGCGGTGGGCGCAGTTCAGGGACATCTACGAGCTGGTGGGCGTGCCCGTCATCACCGTGCAGCTGCGCTACGACGGCTGGGTCACCGAGATGAACGACATCGAGCTGTCCAGGTGCGCCCTCTGCCATTGCTGCCCCTCGTGCACTCTCTGCCTCGTTTGCATCGCCCTCCTCATCATTCACGTCATGTGCACCCACACATTCATCATACCACCAACCTACTTACCCCTCACCCCTCCCCTGCTGCCCTGTTCTCCTGGTGTCTCTTGTTTCACCCCCCCACCAGGCAGCTGGCGCGGGCGGCAGGGCTGGACAATCTGCTCTACTCACCCGATGCCGACTTCTCATGCTTCGCTGACCTGGCGCTCACCAGCCCCGACGATTACTACAGGGAGGGCCAGGGCTCGCTCATGCAGTCAGTGCCCCGCCTCACACGTGCCTTACCCATCCCCGCCATGCATGCTTACTTGTTGCGCTGGCCACTCTCAGACATTTATTCGGGCACTGTCCCTTCTTCTCTCGTCCCCCCCTTACGTGCCGTCCCTGTTCCACACTGCCCCCATCAATTCGTTTTTGTGCAATCCCTGTTCCTCTCATCTGCTCACCCTGTACTTGGTGTCTCCAATCGTGTGTGTGTACGGCAGGGTGGTGATCACCCCAGCAGACCCCTACATGCCAATGACCAACGAGGCCATCGTCGCCAAGATGAACGACCAGGTCATTCATGCAGCCTGTGCCCTGGATTGGATTGGATTCCACTCCTGCCACTGTCTTGACCCGTATTTCTCACTCCACATGCCTCCAATCACATGCCTCCGTCTAGATGCCTCCATTCTCACGCCTCAATCCCCATGTGATCCTGCTGCTGCCTGTCCGTTTCCACTCGCCCTTTTTGAAAACCACCCCCTCCTTTCCCCCTCGCCCTGCCCCTGCTCTCTCCTCCTCTCTTCCCTCACCAGGTCATGGATCTGTTCCCATCGGCGCGCGGGCTGACGCTGCTGTGGCACTCGGTGGTGAAGATCAACCAGTCGCTGTACCGCGAGGCTCCCGGCCTCGACCAGTTCCGCCCCGATCAGAAGACGCCTGTCCCCAACTTCTTCCTCGCCGGCTCCTACACGAAGCAGGTAAACCCCGTTGCCTCCCCCATGTTGTGGTCCATTCCGTTCGTGGCTTCACCTGCTCACTTGGTTGTGTGGGCCGTCCCATGCCCGTGATCCGCCTCATCCTCCTCACATCCACCTTCCCGCACCTTCCCCTCCACCACCCGCCCTCCACCCCCTTGCCCCTGGCAGGACTACATAGACAGCATGGAGGGCGCCACGCTGTCGGGCAGGAGGGCAGCAGCGCGCATCTGTGAGGCGGGGGAGGCCATCAGCGCACTCGCCTCCCAGCAAAGAGCACAAGCCCCCGCTGCTGCCGTCTGACCGTGTCTAGCTCCTAGTGCCTTGTTTGTAACCACTTGATAAGTGCCTGATATTATTTTGCTGCCTGTGCTTGTGATTGTGTTTGTCTTGGCTGCTTGTAATTATTTGTGGCACCTTCACACACAAGCTTACAGCCGTTACATGGATTTACTTGGGGCGTATTTCACGTTGAGTTGGTGGCAAGTGTACCCAAAAATTCAGTGGGCCGGAAAATGCGCTTGCCACCAACAGTGCGATGAACAGTTGCCCTGCCACCAACATGGAATACGCCCTTACCAATCAAAGCAGTCATCTTGCAAGGGTTGAAGGATAGGAATGCAATATCTATTTTCACATTTTTTGGAGTGTTCCATAAAGATTCCTTCTTTGTAGGGCATATAATGCAAGTTTGACACATTCTCACATCACCATTGTCCAAAAAATTGTATCCACCCTGTAATGAGGATACTTGCGTGATTCACCCCAATATTGCGGCGTCCTCCGCCTCAATCATTCCAATCATTCCGCCGCGATGTTGGGCTCCGCCCATCCCGCCCATCGAGCTGTCGCCCTGCGCCGCCCAGCCACCTCCGCCGTCCTCTCCGCCGTTCTCGACCGGGGTACCCTTCCACCGCCATTGGCCTCTCTCGCGCGCTCCCCATCGTCTCCCCACGCGGCCCCACAATGCGCGCCTCCGTCCCAATTTGCCCACCACCCGCCTCCGATTGCCCGGGGTGATCGGGAGGGTGCAGGCGGGGACGTATGCCGCGGGTTGCCCCGCCCGCGCTTGCCGCTCCGCAGCGCCATCCGCGAAGGATGGTTGCTCCCCGCGGCTTGGCGCGCAGGCAGCGAGAGCCGGTGGCGGGGCTTGGTGGTGGGCGCACGGGTGGCGGAGAGGGTGGCGGAGTCTTCAGGCGCTGGAGCGCGCGCAGCAGTGACGGAGGAGAGCAGGGGAGAGGGGGATGAGAGGTGGCGCGGTGAAGGGGTGGCAGTGGGTGGGGCGGAGAGGGAGGTGGGGGGCGAGGGTGGAGCGAGTGAGCAGGTGGTGTTCGTATGTGCCCCTCGCCCCGCCCTCCGCCTCCCCCCATTCATGCATCATGCGCCACTGCATGCATCATGCGCCACTGCATGCATCATGCGCCACTGCATGCATCATGCGCCACTGCATGCATCATGCGCCACTGCATGCATCATGCGCCACTGCATGCATCATGCGCCATTGCATGCATCATGCGCCACTGCATGCATCATGCGCCACTGCATGCATCATGCGCCACTGCATGCATCATGCGCCACTGCATGCATCATGCGCCATTGCATGCATCATGCGCCACTGCATGCATCATGGGCCACTGCATGCATCATGCGCCACTGCATGCATCATGGGCCACTGCATTAATCCAGGTGCTCGGGTCTGTACGCATGTCTGCCCCCACAATCTACACCATGCACATGCATCACCTCATTCTGCCTCCTCACTCCCACTCTCATACGCGCGCACGCCATGCGTCACACGAAGCGTCTATCAATCCATACCGCACATGCATCACCTCACTCTTTCTCACGCCATGCCTTACCTGGCCTCCTCTCCTCTTTCCTCTCTACCCCTCTCCACCTCCGCTCCTCTCTCGCTGTGCGTTGTCCCCCGGCCAGGACCCCCCAGCCGTGCCAGCAGCGTTTGAGGGAGTGCAGCAGTGGGTGGTGTTCTCCGACCTCCATGTGTCCCGCCGCAACACTGAGCTCTGTGCCGCGCTGCTCACACACGTGCACCAGCTCGCCAAAGACAGGTGCACGCCGCAGCAGTGTGGGCGGTTGAGTTGAGCGAAGAGAGGAACTCGCATGAGTGTGGGGCACAGTGGCCTGCAGAGGCTCGGATTTGGCATGGGCTCGTTGCATCGTACAACTTCAAGTCGAATTTTCATAGCCTTATATGTGCCTCGATGACATGGCATGGCATGGCATGGCATGGCATGGCAGGGGGGCGGGAGTGGTGTGTCTGGGGGACTTCTGGCACGTGAGGGGGTCGCTGCCAGTGGAGGCACTCAACGCCGTCATGGCTGCCATGGGGCCCGCTGTGTGGACGCAGCCCACCATCATGATTCCCGGCAACCATGACCAGGTGCCACTGCCGCCACCACCAGGTGCCACCGCATCACCAGGTGCCACCGCATCACCAGGTGCCACCGCATCACCAGGTGCCACCGCATCACCAGGTGCCACCGCACCACCCTGCCATTCTGCTGCTCCTTTCTGCCTCCTGCTTCTCTCCTTGCCTTCATCACTAGGCGTTCCCTCCCTTCCCCTTTCCCAGAACACACATCCGCCCCTCTCCCCTCTCTGTTCCTCGTCCCCCACCCCAGGTGTCGGTGGACGGGGCACAGCACGCGCTGGCAGTGCTGCCGCGCATCAACCCGCACATCGTGGTGCTCCCACGCCCCGCTGTGCTGCTCGCCGCCCTCTGGCTGCCCTTCCGCCACCACGCGTCCCTCCTCACCTCCGCCCTGCACCAAGCGCTGCACGCCCCCCCGCCCTCCGCCCCCCCCATCCGCGCCATCTTCATGCACGCGGACGTGGAGGGGGCGCGGCGCAGCAGTGCAGAGGGCGCCATTACCCTGCCAGGCGAGGGGCTGGACCCGCTGCTGCTGCCAGCCGGCGTGCCCGTGTACTCGGGGCACCTGCACCTGCCGCACACCGTGGCCACGGCCGGGCGCACCGTGCACTACGTGGGGTCGTGCGTGCAGCACAGCTTTGGGGAGGCGGGGCAGAGCAAGCGGGCTGTGGTGCTGCAGGGCGGCACGTGGGAGCACGTGGAGGATATTCCCCTGGACGTGGGGCCGCGGCACTTCATCATCCCCGCTGCTGCTGCTTCAGCCTCACAGCTGGGTGAAGGGGACGGGGAGTCAGAGTCGCAGGCAGGCGAGGGGTGGCAGCAGGTGGTGCCGCTGCTGCGAGCAGGCGACCTGGTGCGGTGGGAGGTGCCGGGAGGGGCGGACGCCAAGGAGACGAGACACGCGCTGGTGAGGCGCACACCCAAGGCCTGGTACTGCCCGTCACATGCCCCATGGCGCTGCTCACCTCTGCACACGTGCTCATGTCCCCCACATGGCCGCTGGGCGCTCAAATTGCACCCACGCCCCACCCCAACCATGTCCTTATCGTGTCCTTCCCCGCCCACCCCGCCCTACAGGCGAGCCTGCGGGCCACAGGTGCGCTGGTGCAGACAGTGGCGTCACAGGCGCTCTCCCGCCCACCGCGCATCCTGCAGGCTGACACGCTGGTGGGTGGTGCACGTGCACGTGGGTGCTGGGTTGGGGGGGGGGTGTGAGCGCGGATTGACACAGGGTTGTGTGGGCAGGGTGAGGAGAAGAGAGACTGGGTGGGGTGAGCAAGGCGCTTAGACAGGGATGGGATTGAACCTCCTGCCATCATCTCATTGCTGCAACTTCCCCCCCTCTTAAATCTCCATCAGTAACCCCCCTCTCCATCAGTAACCCCCCTCTCCATCAGTAACCCCCCTCTTAAATCTCCATCAGTAACCCCCCTCTTAAATCTCCATCAGTAACCCCCCTCCCCTCCCCCCTCCTCTCCTTCCAACATTCACCCCCTCCCCTTGTCTCTCGCAGGAGCCCTCACACGTGTTTGCCAGCTACGCCATGGCCGCCCATCTGCCCCCACCCGTCGTGTGTGCCGCCCAAGAGTTGCTCAAGGACCTGGAAGTGCCGCCCCGACTCATGCACCGCACCACTGGTGAGGCGCTGGGGGCTGGCGGGAATGCGAGGAGCAGTGCTGGCGGGAATGCGAGGAGCAGTGCTGGCGGGAATGCGAGGAGCAGTGCTGGCGGGGATGCCCGAGAGCCCATTCCATTCCACAGCTGCCCCCTCGCCCTTTACCTCTGCCCTCTCCACTTGCTTCCTTCCTCCCTCTGCCCTCTCCACTTGCTTCCTTCCTCCCTCTGCCCTCTCCACTTGCTTCCTTCCTCCCTCTGCCCTCTCCACTTGCTTCCTTCCTCCCTCTGCCCTCTCCACTTGCTTCCTTCCTCCCTCTGCCCTCTCCACTTGCTTCCTTCCTCCCTCTGCCCTCTCCACTTGCTTCCTTCCTCCCTCTGCCCTCTCCACTTGCTTCCTTCCTCCCTCTGCCCTCTCCACTTGCTTCCTTCCTCCCTCTGCCCTCTCCACTTGCTTCCTTCCTCCCTCTGCCCTCTCCACTTGCTTCCTTCCTCCCTCTGCCCTCTCCACTTGCTTCCTTCCTCCCTCTTTCTAACTCTTCCGGATTCATTTCTCTCATCCCTCTCCCCCTTCATTGCCCTTCCCAATGCTCCTTCCTTCCCTCACTCCACTTATTGCTCTTTGATTCCCCATGCCCTTCCCCCCGCCAGCGCACGTGTGTCTGGATGCGGTGCATGTGAGTGGCTTCGGCCCCTTCCTCGCGCCCACCACATACCCCCTCGCTGCACGCGGCATCGTGCTGCTGTGCGGCCGCAACGAGGCAGCGGGGGGGGCGGCGGGCGACAGCAACGGGGCGGGCAAGACGTCGCTGGCCATGGCGGCGCTGTGGGCGCTCACGGGCAGCATGGACGCGCGCCCTGACTCCCGCCAAGGGCTGCGCATGGCCGACGTTGTACACCGCAGCAGCCAGGGGGAGGGAGGCGAGGGGGGCGTGGGGGAAGGGGTCGAGGGGAAGGGGCGCGGGAGGAGGAGGAAGGGGGAGGGTGGTGGAGGAGGGGTGGCGCGCGTGCGGGTGGAGGGGAGGGTGAATGGCAAGGCGTTTGTAGTTGAGAGGGAGGCGTCCAGGTGGGTGGGGGACGGAAGCAGTGTGGTGGTGGTTGGAAGGAAGAGAGAGAAAGCGACAAGTGTGCAAGGGAGGAGGGGCGAGGTTGGGACGGCATGCCCGTCCCGTCACTCACTGCTGCACTCTCCTCGCCGCCCCTCCCACTCTCCCTCTCATAGCCTCTCTCTTTTTGCCCTCGTTTCCTCACCACCTCTGCCCTGCTGCTCTCGTCCCCCTGGTGCTCCGCTCCCCCTGTGCGCCGCTGGTGCCCATGCAGCCGGCGGTCAGCATTGCGCTTTGAGGTGGAGGGGGAGGACCAGACGTGCCAGGAGATCAGACTCACACAGGAGAGGATCGACGCCCTCATGTGAGCCACTGTGCGCTGCTGTGCTGTCATGTCATGTGAGCATGCATGCATGCATTAGTGACAACTCTGTTATGTGCAACTCTGTGCGGCTAGATAAGCACGCCCTACCCAAATCGTCAACAAGAGTTGTGTGTTGTATTGATCTGGGCGCGCCTGTGTGCATGCATGTGTGCGTGCGTGAGTGCATGTGCGTGCATGTGTATGAGGTGGTGTGTATGCATGCACATGCACATGCACATGCACATGCACATGTGCTACAGGGACACCTCTCTCCTCTCCCGCACTGTGTTCTTCGGACAGCACTCCACCGCTGAGCTGCTTGAAGCCAACGACGCCGACTTCAAGGCACATGCCAAGCCTTCCCTCTCCCTTTGCTCTCTTCATCTCCCTTCGCTCCCCTCGTGTCTAATCCCCACTGCTTTTTTTTCTCTCCTCCTCTTCTCTCTACTCCCTCCCTCCCATGCTTCCATATTTCCACATTATTCTCTTCCCTCACGTGCTTTCTCCCCCCTCAGCCATTTTTTCCTGTCCAATTAAATAATGCTGCCTTCCTTGTCCCTACCAGCCTTACATGCCCCTCCCACTCTCCACTCAATCCACCTCCATGGCTTACCCGCCTCTCTCGTTCTTCCTCTTCTGCCGCTCGCCTCTCTCACCTCGCTGTGTCCCTCGTTCACTTCACGCACGCCTGTCCGGACACTCTGCTGCTTGTGAGAGCGCCAGGCGGAGCTGAGTGCGGTGGTGGGGATGGACGTGTGGGGGGCGGCCAGGGCGCGCAGCAGGGACGCCGTGAGGGCGCTGCAGGCGCAGGTGGGGGAGATGACGGGCGGGCTGGCGGTGCGCAGGGACGCCGTCAGGAAGCTGCAGCGCATGGTGGGTGCAGGGAGGGGGGGGAGGGGGACTGGTGAAAGAGTGCAGTGTGATGCTTGCAAGGAGTTAGTGACAGTGAGCTTGCTCCTCATTGCAAGGAGTTAGTGACAGTGAGCTTGTTCCTCAATGCATTTCCTCATCGTGCCTCATCCCGCACGGATGTTAACTGATTTCACCTCATCCACATGCTTCTCTGCCCTGCCTTGCCATGTCATTCCATTGCACTCCCTGGCCGTATGGCATGAGCCCATGCCATTATGCTCCCTCCCACGGCCGCATATCAGGTGGAAGAAGCAGAGGGTGCCTTCAACGCCTGGGAAGAACACAGGTGAGCCATGCCATGCCATGCCATGCCATGCCATGCCATGCCATGCCATGCCACACACTTGTTTCTCCTGCAAGGTCCACTCTCACCATGTCAATCCCCATGCTTTCTGCACCACCTGCCGTATTGCTCCACTTGCATTTGAGGCGCTTCAAAAGCCTCATTGCTCCACGTGCAATGCGCCTGCATAAACGTTCTGTGGGGCGGCCTGTGCTGAAAGGGCGCTCTCTAGTGGGATGAGTCAGTGCGTGCTGATGCCCGCCACCCTTCCAGCGTCCTTACCTGCCCGTCCCATCCACGCGCCCACCACCAGGGCGGCACGGCAACAGCGAGTGGGTGTGCAGCAACGGCAGGCGGAGCAGCAGCTGGCGTCCGCCTGCCAGCAGCTGGCAGCGCTGGTGGCTCCTCGCCTGCAGGCCGCCGTGGCCCTCTCGCACTCGCACGCCCTCGCCCTGCACTCCTCCGTGCTCGCCTCCCTCTCTGGTGGGGAGGCGCAAAGGGACGAGGGTGCAGGTGGGGGAGGAGTGGGTGGAGGCAGGGCACGGAGGGGCGAGGAGGAGGCGGGGATGGAGGAGCGGGAGCGAGTGCTGATGACTGGGATCGCGTCCCTGCAGGGCGAGGTGGGTGCGAGTGAAGGGCGGGTGGATGGAGAGGGTTGAGACGACAGGGCGTGTTGCTTGCTGTGTTGTGAACCTGCCAGACTGCAGGCATTCACGGAAAAGGAAACCACACATTCGCTTACTCACTCTTGCTCCCCACACATGCCCAATTCTCCCTCCACGTCATCATTGGGCTCCTTGCATTTCCCCTTCCCCCTGTCTGTTTGCCCCCTTCCCTCTGCAGCTGTCAGCGGTGCGAGCAGGGCTGGGGGCGCAGCAGCAGCGGCTGGGGGAGTTTGAGGCGCATGTGGGGGGGATAGTGGGGGGAGGGAAGGTGCTGGTGTGTGACAGGTGTCAGCAGCCCATTGATCCGCTGCATGCACAGGAGTGCAGCAGGCAGCTCCGGGCGGAGGTGGAGGAGGCGCAGCGACAACTCGCAAAAAAGCAGCAGGTGGAGATCTTGTTGTGTCCATTGCTACGCCCTTGTTGACCTTGTCTCCCTTTTTAAATCTCCGTGTCGTCTCCGTCATGCTTTGCCTTCTTATTGTGTGCAAACCCAGCGTCTTATGTTTCATATTTCTTCAGAGCTCAACACAAGTTTCGCAGTTGTAGTATCGAGACCAGACCTAGCTTTCGCACAAAATCACTTCCCTCGCTCTTCCATGTGTTGTGCCTCTCGTGCACCTCCCCTGGGTGGCAGGCGCAAGAGGCGCTGCAGGGGGAGTTGGTGGGCGTGCGGGAATGGCTGGAGGCGCGGCGGAGGGAGAGACGGGAGAGCGAGGAGAGGGACGCACAGGCGAGGAGGCAGCAGCAGCAAGCGGCCATGGCACAGCAGGAGGAGGTGCGGGCTGGGTGGATGTGTGGTGTTGCTCACTGGCACCAGCGCCACATGCGTGTACTGCGTTGAGGATACCGTTCCATGCCACACCACTTGCTCTGTGCCCCGCTGCGCACCAGTCAGCCTGTGCCTTCAACCTCACCACTTCTCACCTTCACCAACACCTGCGTCCGCCCAGCTTCATTTCTTTGCACCATCTCTGCCCCATCTTCCCTCTCTTCCCCCCATCCCAGTTGAAGGCAGTGCAGCGCTACACAGCAGCAGCCTCGCAGGCACTGGACTCACTGCTGCTCTTCCTGCACCGCCATCATCCACTGGCCGCCACCTCTGCTCCCACCGTGGGCGTGGATGGCGAGGGCAGCGGGGCGTGGCGGCAGGAGGCGGTGGCAGCGGTGATCCGCGAGGCGGGGGAGGCGGTGGTGGCGGGGGAGGCAGCGGAGGCGGAGGTGGAGAGGTGGCGCAGGGAGGCGGAGAAGGGGCGGGCAGAGGGCAACCCGCATGATGGGGAGCGGCGGCGGCTCGTGGAGATGCTGGGGGAGGCAAAGGGGGAGGTGGAGGCAGTGGAGGGGGAGGTGGATGCGGGGGAGGCACAGCTGGGCATCATGAAACAAGTGGACGCCGCCTTTGGGCTCGCTGGCGTGCAGGTGGGGTGGGGTGGGGTGGGGTGGGGTGGGGTGGGGTGGGGAGCGCAGGCGTGCAGGTTTTAGACTCTAGTGACCACAGGCGACAACTCCCCCTCCTCGTCCCCTCCCCTCCCCCTCCCACTCCCACTCCTTTTTCCCTTCCCTTTCCCCTTCCCCGCAGAGCTTTGTGTTGGAGGGCGCGCTGTGGCAGCTGGACGCCCACGTGGCGCGCTACCTGGCTGCGCTCTCCGGAGGCGCTCTGCACCTTCACCTCTCGCCTACCCGTGCCGCCGCCACTGCCACCAAGGCCGCCCGGGGGAAACTCTCAAAGAAGGCCGGTGGGGCGGGGAGGAATGGCGCGGCGGGCAGCGGCACGGACTCTGAAGCGTCAAGCGACAGTGGGGGAAGCGAAAGGGGAGAGGGGGATGAGGAGGGGGGGGCGGAGGAGAGCAGCGGCGGGGGGTCGGGGCAGGTGTTGGAGCGGATAGACAAGAGTGTGCGCGTGCGCCTGGCCTCGGGGGAGCTCGTCCCGCGGGCGTTGCGCCAGCTCAGCGGCGGGGAGCGGCGCCGCGTGGCGCTGGCCCTCGCTCTGGCGTTCGCTGAGCTGGCGGCGGAGCGCAGTGGCGTGCACTACGACCTGCTGGTGCTGGACGAGGTCTTTCAGGCACGCTGCTCCCCCTCCCCTCCACCCCATGTGCTGCTTGCTGCCTCTTCCTGTGCTCCTCTATCTCCCCACCCTGCGCTATCCCTTCCTTCCCTGTGCCTCCATGTACCCCTTTATCCTCCTCTCCACCCTCTCTGTCTGGCTCGTAGAGTGCGCCTCCATCAACCCTGACCTCGCCCTGCCTCATATCCTTGTGGTGCGTGCATGCATGCTGCATCACTGCCGTGCTCAATGGGTCCCGTCCCGTCCCAACTCTTGCGTTCCTCAAACCTTGCTTGGCCCACCTTCTCTCCCCCTTTTCAACAGCATCTGGACGACGAGGGAGTGGCAGCGGTGGCGGCGGTGCTGAGGGCGCTACCGCAGCGCACGGTGGTGGTGGTGTCGCAGGCCAACAGCCGCGAGGCACTCGCTGAGTTTGGAGTGGTGGACTGGGTGGTCAAGCGCAACGACGTCGCCACTGTTGAGCTCGCTCACATGTAGCGGCTTGTGTGTGAGGCTCTGGACTGGCCCGCCTGCCCAGCTGGTTGGGGAGCCAGGAAGGAAGGAACCATCGTTTCCATATCTTGTTGCATGCGAGTTGCTTGCTGTGTAAAGAGTGCTTCTTGATTGGAATGTGGCTGGCGCACACATGTACACAAGCAGGTTGCCATCTGCCCACACTGAGAACTTGCTGGCTGTGAGGGGAAAGGCCGTCCACTCCATACAGAGACACTAGTAGCGCAACCCACTTGCCACTGGGTTGGGGGGCAGAGTGAATCAGGCTCTTTTTCATTTGATGGGTGGCTTCATCTACGTATCTATCTCATGTGATGAAGCCATTTGCAGTTAATGCCTCCCATCCCACACAGGCTGCAGAACACAGGAACATTGAGTTGAAAGCTCCCCGATGTGCTGCTTTCAGTAGCATCCCACCCACCCCACACATTTTACGGCAAGCAATTTGGGAAAGCCACAGGCCAGTTACCGGTACTGGTTTTGTCCAGCGGGCAAACGGCTTTAGCCATTGACAGGCTGGTGCATGCTAACCTTCAGTGGCACCAAATTCCCTTTAAGGTACTGGTACTGGTACTGGTACAACCTTTACTTGATTTCTCATCAACTTGAACAAATTGGAATATGGCACACAGAAACAGCAGACCATGTTGGGGCTTAGCTAGCAACTGGCTGGCTCGCCAACGACCACCGCTGGCGCCAACCAGCTCGACCGTCTGCCTTTCCCTCTATCGCTTCTTGCTCTGTGCTGCCTTCTGCTTTTTCTTCTTAGTGGCTTTGGGCACCTTGGTCAGTCGCGCCACCCGCTTCTCCTCCTTCACCTTCTTCTTGTTCTCCTTGCGTGCCGCCCGCACCTCCTCCTTGCTCATTGCCTCCCCCCTGCCCCGCCTACCACCCTCCTCCTCACCTCCCTCATCCTCTGACAAGTCACTTCCCTCTTCACTCCCCTCCTCACTCCCCTCCTCACTCCCCTCCTCGATCTGCTGCTCCTCTCTGCCTTCTATCCCCTCTGCCCCACCACGCTGCGCGCGCGGCACCACAGGCGCGCCACCCCGTGCACTCTCTTCGCCCTCCTCCCCTCCACTCCCGTCCCCTCCGCCCCTCACTGCCCCTGACCTCTCCTCCCTCTGCTCCCCATGCCCGTGACCCCCATCACCAACGCTCCTCCCTGCCGTGGCACCACCGTGCTCCTCGTGAGTCTGCAGGATGTGGGGCAGGGTGCGCACGCCAGACAGGTCCGCCTTGAGCCCCAGCAGCGACGGGTAGAAGATGCCCTCCAGTGGGGGCGCCATCGACGACGACACAGCTTCTTCGCCGCCGCTGCCAGCACCTGCTGCACCCGCTGCTGCACCGTCCGCTTTTTCTCCGTGTGTCGCGGCCTGTTGCGTAGTGCTGGATGTGGCTGCCTGCTGCTGCGCTGCTGCTTTGGTGGCGGAGGCGATGCGGCGAATGTCCTTCTCGGCGTCCTTCACCTGATCCAACGACTGCGGTATGAACGACTGTGGTGGGCGGCACGGGGGAGGAGGAACGGGGTCGGGTGGATTGGAGGGATGTGAGGAGGCGACTGGCTGAGTGATGATGCATGCAGAGGTGAGGGAAGGATCAAGGACCCATGAGCTCACAAGGAACACACTCAACCACCAGTGCACTCATGCAAGTGTCCCCGTGTAGTGCATGGGGAAACATGGTGCAAGACAATGCGTTCCTGCTGGTGTGCAAACAATGCAGTAGGAGTGGAAGGGCGCGCTTGGGAGGGCTGACTGACCTGCAGGAAGACGGCTTCAGCAATGGCCTCCTGTGCTGTGGGCTCCAAGGGCCTGCTGGCTGCCCGCTCTTGTAGCTGGGCGTAGCATGCATGTGCACAGCATACGAAAATATTGGGGCAAATGAGGTCAACAGAAAACACGGAAAGCCAAACATGCACACACGCAAGCACACAAAACACATACACATGCACGCACACACATGCCAACACGCACTTGCACGTGCTTGCCCCACCTTGTGCAGGCAGTCATCCCACCTTGTGCAGGCAGTCATCCCACCTTGTGCAGGCAGTCATCCCACCTTGTGCAGGCAGTCATCCCACCTTGTGCAGGCAGTCATCCCACCTTGTGCAGGCAGTCATCCCACCTTGTGCAGGCAGTCATCCCACCTTGTGCAGGCAGTCATCCCACCTTGTGCAGGCAGTCATCCCACCTTGTGCAGGCAGTCATCCCACCTTGTGCAGGCAGTCATCCCACCTTGTGCAGGCAGTCATCCCACCTTGTGCAGGCAGTCATCCCACCTTGTGCAGGCAGTCATCCCACCTTGTGCAGGCAGTCATCCCACCTTGTGCAGGCAGTCATCCCACCTTGTGCAGGCAGTCATCCCACCTTGTGCAGGCAGTCATCCCACCTTGTGCAGGCAGTCATCCCACCTTGTGCAGGCAGTCATCCCACCTTGTGCAGGCAGTCATCCCACCTTGTGCAGGCAGTCATCCCACCTTGTGCAGGCAGTCATCCCACCTTGTGCAGGCAGTCATCCCACCTTGTGCAGGCAGTCATCCCACCTTGTGCAGGCAGTCATCCCACCTTGTGCAGGCAGTCATCCCACCTTGTGCAGGCAGTCATCGACGAGGCTCTCCTTCATGACCGGGTCCGTGACAAAGTCAAACAGCTCCCTCACTGACAGCACCGCCATGCCCTTGCGCCGGAAGAAATCCTGCCGGGATGTTTGAGCGGGATAAGGTGGGACTGTGGTGGAGTTGGAGTGAATCATTGGTGGAGGAATGCTGGCCGGCTTGTGCAGTTCAACGGGTGCTACTAGACGCAAAGCAGCTCGCACACTCACAGTGACGTGCAGGCACACTCACAGTGACGTGGAGGCACACTCACAGTGACGTGCAGGCAGTCCTCTCGGAGGAAGTCGAGCGCCCTGGGATGGTCCAGATCCACCGACTGTGACACGTCTATCACCCACACCCGCCCCTAGTAGGGGCACGGGGGGGCACAGTGGCTCACAGTGGGGTCGATTTTTGTGAGATATCATATAAGCAAACACACACATATATATTTATATATCCATATACATATACATGTGCATAAACACATGAATAGGTATTAGAATGAGAATTGTTTGATTGAACATATCGAGCAGGTGGGACGTACATGCAGGTAGAGCAGGTTGTATTCACTGAGGTCGCACCTGCAGGTAGAGCAGGTTGTATTCACTGAGGTCGCACCTGCAGGTAGAGCAGGTTGTATTCACTGAGGTCGCCGTGCACGAGGCGGCAGAGGCGATACATGCGCCACATGGCCACCACCACCTGCTCGTAGCACTCCCGCCACCGCCCCTCCGACAACTGCACGTCCTTCAGCCGAGGCGCCCCCCACCCCTCCGTGCCTGCCGTACCATGCCGTGCCATGTGATGCCACAACATTCATGTCATGGCCACAAACACTTGAAATGACTGGGCCAGGAAGTCCAGTGGGTGTGCAAAGCAGCTGAAAGACTGTTGTGGCAGACGACTCGTGAGTGTCGTGACAAGCAAGAGAACGATGCAAAGCTGACTGTCAAGCGCCCTGTACAGTCATGTTGCTTGCTCCCCCTTCACCTCCACGCACCAATGAATGACATGACGAGCACATGCATGCGCAGCATGAGGGGCACGGGACACGTCACTCCTGCCGCCCGCAACCTGACACACAACCGGACAAGACGGTGGTACAGTGCGGTGAGAGTTAGCAGGGAGCAACGCGGCGAGGGATGCGGAAACGGGACGTGAGAGAGGCCATGTGGTTGCCGGCTGTGGCTGTCCACACGGCGCCGTGCCTTATGGGTATCACTGCCACATGGAATCAGCACGCAGAACAAGAGACGCAAGGCAGCAAAGCACACTCGCCCACCAACCAACCTACCCCACTCGCCAACCCACCCAGCCCTACGCAACCAGCCAACCCCAAGCACCCAGCCACCCTCACGCACCCACCCACTGCCCCACCCACTGCCCCACCCAACTTCTTCCCCCCCCCCTTCCCCCAGTGGTGCACGCACCGGTTGAGGTTGCGGAACTCCTTCTCGGCCCACACCTTGACCATCTTGCGCGGGTTGTGCTTGCTGTACCCGTGCCGGAACCGGTAGTCCCCCGCCACGTACCGCTCGCGGTCCCTGCACCGCAGGAGTTGGGGGTGGGCAGGGGAGTTGGGGGCTCGCAGGGGAGTTGGGGGCTCGCAGGGGCGTTGGGGGCTCGCAGGGGAGTTGGGGGCTCGCAGGGGAGTTGGGGGCTCGCAGGGGAGTTGGGGGCTCGCAGGGGAGTTGGGGGCTCGCAGGGGAGTTGGGGGCTCGCAGGGGAGTTGGGGGCTCGCAGGGGAGTTGGGGGCTCGCAGGGGAGTTGGGGGCTCGCAGGGGAGTTGGGGGCTCGCAGGGGCGTTGGGGGCTCGCAGGGGAGTTGGGGGCTCGCAGGGGAGTTGGGGGCTCGCAGGGGCGTTGGGGGCTCGCAGGGGAGTTGGGGGCTCGCAGGGGAGTTGGGGGCTCGCAGGGGAGTTGGGGGCTCGCAGGTGAGTTGGGGGCTCGCAGGGGAGTTGGGGGCTCGCAGGGGAGTTGGGGGCTCGCAGGGGAGTTGGGGGCTCGCAGGGGAGTTGGGGGCTCGCAAGGGAGTTGGGGGCTCGCAGGGGAGTTGGGGGCTCGCAGGGGAGTTGGGGGCTCGCAGGGGAGTTGGGGGCTCGCAGGGGAGTTGGGGGCTCGCAGGGGAGTTGGGGGCTCGCAGGGGAGTTGGGGGCTCGCAGGGGAGTTGGGGGCTCGCAGGGGAGTTGGGGGCTCGCAGGGGCCAATGGTGAAGGGAGGAGGAGCGGGGGAGTGAAGGCAACACGGGGATGGTGGCACGTGAGGCGGAGGAGGGCGAGTGGAGCTCACTTGACGACGAGGATGGACGTCACTCACTTGAAGACGAGGATGGACGTCACTCACTTGAAGACGAGGATGGACGTCACTCACTTGAAGACGAGGATGGACGTCTTGTAGACCTTCACTGCCAGCTCCTTCACCGCCTGCCCCTCGCCCCCCTCCTGCACGCCCGCCCCCTCCCTACCCCCCCCAATCCCCAGAGCAGCGGGCATGTGCAGCACGGAGGGGCGGTCCACCGTGGCATGGTACACGTTCGCCTGGGGGGGTGGGAGAGGCGCCACGGGCGAGAGGTCGGGGAAGGAGCATGAGGCGTGGCACGATAGCAGTGGCACGATAGCAGTGGCACGATAGCAGTGGCACGATAGCAGTGGCACGATAGCAGTGGCACGATAGCAGTGGCACGATAGCAGTGGCACGATAGCAGTGGCACGATAGCAGTGGCACGATAGCAGTGGCACGATAGCAGTGGCACGATAGCAGTGGCACGATAGCAGTGGCACGATAGCAGTGGCACGATAGCAGTGGCACGATAGCAGTGGCACGATAGCAGTGGCACGATAGCAGTGGCACGATAGCAGTGGCACGATAGCAGTGGCACGATAGCAGTGGCACGATAGCAGTGGCACGATAGCAGTGGCACGATAGCAGTGGCACGATAGCAGTGGCATGACAGCAGTGGCACGATAGCAGTGGCACGATAGCAGTGGCACGATAGCAGTGGCACGATAGCAGTGGCATGACAGCAGTGGCACGATAACAGTGGCATGACAGCAGTGGCATGACAGCAGTGGTGATGCTGATGCTGATGATGATGTTGATGGTGGTTTACCTCCTTGCCGGTGGAGAGGCAGCCGTTGATCTGGGAGAAGACCCCGCGGTTGAGCATCTTGAACAGCACCATGCGCGTGCGTGGGTCCAGCACCTGCTCACGCGCGGACGTGGAAGGGGCGGTTGGGGTGGGGGGAGGTGATGATGAGCATGAGGGGAAGATGGGAAGAAGGGGAGAAGAGGGCAGCAAGGTCAGCGGCGATGAGATGAGCGAGAGTGAGAAGCAGGATAGCGGGGGGGTGCTTGGAGGGGTGGGAAGGGGCTGTGCTGTGAGAGAGCCAGGAAGAGCGTGAAACACACACAGCATGAAAGCCCCTCCCCATGTTCCCCAGCCCCCTTTAGAGTCACCTGCTCCACGGTGGCACGGTCTGCCTTCTCCTTCACCCTCGACTGGCCCTGCTCCTGCCGCTTGTTTGTGTCGCGCACAGCTGTCATCACCACATTCGCCATATTCAGCTGACAGCTGTCGCCCCAATCCTGCCACGTCAGCATGCATCATCAAAAAGCAGAACGAATCAAAGAGTGTGTAGCTCCTTCACTGCAGCCGCGTGAGCATCCACACCAAACCTTCAAACCAAACCCCCAACCCGTCACATTAAGAGCACAAACCTAGACCCTCACACTTAAACCCTGAACCTCGAATGCAAAACCCCAACCCCTCAAGCGCAAGTCACAAGCCCCTCACCCGCATGGGCGCGGCGTTCACTCGCGCCGTCAGACGCTGCTGCTTGTTCACCCGCGGCTGCATCGCCCCCGCCGCGCCCCCCACTCCCGCTCCCCCAGACGCGGCTGCGCGGGCATGCGCGTGCGCCTGGTTCAGCTGCCCCCCGAAGGCGTTCGGCCGCCGCGCCGCGGAGAAACCGCCGCCGAACGCGCCGCCGCCAGTGTTGCCTCGCGATGCGAGATCTGTACAAGCGTGGATGAGTGGGCGCGTGAGAGACGGAGGAGCGGCAGGTGTGTGCAGGAGGACGGACGGGAAGGGCGGGTGTGGAGTGGGTGTGGGGCGGGTAATGGAGGGAAGAGGGGGGAGGGAGGGGGGGGGGGAGGAGGGGGGGACACACGATGATATTAAGATGACTTGTGTGCGAATTCAGTGGCCGCCGAGCAGCACCGCCCGCGTGCTCGCTTTCAACGACAAACGGCACTCTCGCATTTCCAGCCAATCAGCGACCTTCTCTCAGCCAAACAGCTACCTTCTCTCAGGTCTAGCCAATCGAGCGCGTCCAGCACCTCTTCTTCCACATCGCCATCCTCTTCCGCCCAATCATCATCCTCCACGTCATCCCCTTCGGCGGCGGCAGCGGAAGGCTGCGCGGAGTCGTCCGCATGGAGGCGCGAGAGCGTGTCGAGCAGCAGCTGCTGCGACGCCGCTGACAGCGGCGCGCCCGACTCGTTGTCTACGTCAATGCCGCCTGCTTCAACGGCTAGCGGGTCCGCCGTCAGCATAGGGGACGGTGATGGTTCCATACGGCAGGACATGCCGGCTCGTCGGGAAGCGTGGATACGAAGTGACAAGACTTGGTTTCGGGTTCAGCTGGGTTTGGGGTTAGGAAGTTGCAGAGGCGTGCGCAGAGCGAATTCAGGCGCGATTTGTTTCTGGCAAGGAGCGTCAGTCTGCAAAGAAGAATGAATTAGGTACCTTCTCTGACCTTTCCCCTGATGTTCATACACCACCTCAAGATGCATGCTGCGATGCGAATAGATTAGTACCTAGTCAACTGATTTTACTAAACAATTGCAGGGTAACATCCCTTACTAATGTAGCAAGCCACCTCCTAATACATGAGAAGTGCACCTTTGATCTTGGGCGCTCATGCATCCTTTCCTGCCACTCAACTGCTGCATGCCTCCATGAGATAACTGCAAGTATCTGGAATCATAGCATGTTTGTTCCCTGATTTTTTCAACCAAGCTCAGCTGCCTGGTTTTATTGGTATGACATTGGGGCAATACACTCCTGAAGAGATGTCAAGAGCTCCCTTTTCCTCCCGGCAGGATCATCAGCCGCTCGAACCTGCACAATCGTTCTCAGCACACTTGGTTCCACTCCATCACCCGGTTGAGCTACCCTCCAATACATGCACGCCAGCTCACTCCGGTACTGATCATACACTATTGTAGCATTTGCCTCCATGTTCTGAATAGCAGGCCAGTCACACCAATCCATGGCATACTGCCATATCTGCATCTGAGGGAAAGGGTTCACATCCTCGCACCCAGGGAGCTCCCCAGCAGGCAGAGCATGGCACACGCCCTCGTGCGTGTAATGAGCCGCCACTTGGACGTACGCCTTGATTACACGTGGCGCGTTGCGGTTGTGTTTCGTGGCGACGCGGAAGGGCTTCGTGTAGGGCACATGCACGCCAACGCGAGGGATCGGCGTGCGATTGGTCCATTCCAGAGCCCAGTGCACCTCATCATGTGCATACGCCCACATATAGTTCCCGATGGTCGTGTGGGCGATCTGGGTCCGCTTATACCCAGGTCCATGTTTGGAGAACCATTTGAAAGCAGAGTCGAAGGTGCCGCCCTTATCCTTGTGCAGATTCGCCACGTGGCTCCTGAATCTCGGCAGGACGCTCGTGGGCATCAGAAAGGGCAGCTGCACCATGAAATTGGCAAAGTACTCGTCCTCGCCAACGAAAAACTGCGTGGAGGGTAACCAGTACTCCAGCTGTCGCTGCGCGTTGCCAATCACGTATGGCTTGCCGTCCGTCAGGTTGAACAGTAACCCGGGCGTTACTTTCAAGTCAAAGATGACGTCATCATCTATTAGGGCCACGTAAGGGGCTGTCGTGTAATTGTCAGCCCAGAGATAGCTCCACTGCTGCAGGATCTTTCCTGGAAGCTTCAGCCTGTTATCCTCGTAGTAAACTTTGATCCACGTGGGAATGAGGTCCTCAGCCAATCGTTCGTCGTCGTCAAGGATGAGGATGACGTCACCAATGCCACGTGGCCACATCTGCTCGATGCTGTCAAAAAGCATTTCGAGCAGGAAGAAGTTGCTTGACACGTGGCTGCGGATTACGAGGTCCACGCGACCAGGCCATGACGATCTGCCAACAAAAAGCAGCAGAATTTGAGCGAGATACAGAGAATCTGTAACAGTGAATCCCTCATCAATAACGAGGAAATAGAGCACCTCACGATGACTGCTTGCCGTATCTGAGATGTGCAAAGAAAAAAAAAAGGGAAAGAAGAGGAAGGGAGAGCGGCAAGGTGCGTGCACATACCGGTACGCATCGTCGTAGAGGCTGAAGAGATCCGCCACGCAGTGACCCGTTTGTGAGCGCCGCCTGCACTCCCTGCCGCTACTTCCGGCGCCAATGTCGCTTGTGCTAGTAACGCTAATATTAGTAGCATTAGTTGCAGCAGCATTACTATTAGTAGTACTACTAGTATTAGTTGAAGCACTAGGAGTAGCAGCGGGACCATCGAGCCGCTGGTCCAGGACAACTTTCATAGCGTTGTGGTCAGGCTGAATAGAAACCCTGGGAATCGCTTTCTTGGAGCTGCCAGCGACGCCACGGGCCGAGTTCAGACTTGCGCTCGTGCTCTTCTCCGCCGTCGAGTCGCCGAGCTTGACGGGCATCATTCGCAGTACCATCTTTGCGCCGGCGGCTCGATCGTTCTTGTCGCTTGCATGCAGAGGCTCCGGCAGTAACGCAGAGGCTCTTCCTTGCGCCGGCATCGGTAGAGCAGCTGCTAAGTCGTCGTGGTAGTCGAAAGGTGCTGTCAAGAGCCGTCGCAAGCCGGTCGCACTACGGAGCCCGCGAACCGAGTCGTCTGGCGACGAGACATCCGTGTTTGTCGTACCGCTTCGCACGGCGGAGGCGAGGAGCAGCAGCGAAAAGGCCGTCGCGAGGGCGAGGAGGCAGAAGATGGCCTCTCGACGGGAAATCACAAAAAACGGCGGCGTATCCGTCAAATTGCTGATGTTACCCGTACTGCTCCGAATCATCGTCGCGGATTTCGGACATCCTTCCTCAAGATTACTAAAGAGACGGTGCACTGCTGACAGGGTGTACATGCTGACGTACTAGCACAGCGAGAAGTTTAGTTGCCGGTGCGAAAAGCATCGACGGTTGCCTCATCCGGATTGCCCGTTCCCTCTTATGGACCGTCAATTTCCATAGTTGGCGGCAAACGCGTCGTTCTGCTATGATAGAAGTGTCTCCTACGTGCAGGCCTGTCGTCCCTAACCAATCCATGGCGTGCTGAGGTGTAACAAGTGGTACATACGTGAGAGCCGGCGTGAAGTGCACGAGAGGCAGAAACATGAAGGGTGGGGTGGAGAGCAGGGGCGAATGTGGGGGGAACGTGGGGGGCGGCATACACGTACATGAGATTGTTACAGTGCAACCAAATTGTTGGAGTGTATCTCACTCGGCTCTCCGCCTGCCTCGGATCCTACTGAACCCCTACGCGGCATCCGCGTTACAGCAAACTGTACAAACATATGAATCTATCAATGCCATTGTCTGTATCTCAGCTAAAAGAAGGCCCAATCAAAAAGTCATTCATGCTGGCATTCACTCTTCATATTACATGGCTGTCAACCATGCCCTACGACTTGTTTTAGGAAATCTGAGCCATCAGGCCTGAACATCTAGTTAGTAATAAATCTCAGACCCTAATGGCCCGTCTGACACATCAGGCAGGTTTAAAACCTAGGGAGGGCCCTGATGCCTGCACACACTCATGTGCTACATGGTGCACATGGGCGGCCAGTGATGGCATGCGTTGTTGCATAACGCACATGAATGTTCTTGAGGGCAGCAGACCTCACTCATAAAATGAATACACATGATGGGCTCACAGCCTGGATAACTACACTGCTGCACACTTCTTCAGTGCTCTGCTGTCCCCCCTGCTTGCATGTTCCCCCTTCCCATCTGCCCTCTGCACAGCATGCAGCCTGCCAGTCTGACAACGTTGGACAGCAGACGTGTCCCCCTCAGTGGTGGAGCTGAGGAGCGATGTGAGCAGCAGCCCTGCCCGACCCCAGCCTGCCACTCACACTGCCCTTGAGTGGCCGCCACTTGAACGGCCCTGCCACACACGCCTGCACCACCTGCTCCGACCCGCCCCCTCCTCCCCCATTCTCCTGCCCCTGCCCACCCTTGAGCTCGCCCCTCCTCTCCCTGCCCACCTCGCCATTCCTGCTGCCACTGCTGCTACTGAGGGAGCGCCGCATGGAGCGGCGAGGGGAGAGGCGCAGCGGGTGCAGCAGCAGCTTCAGGCTGGACTCTGCATCCCCCACACACGAAACCCCTGGAGGAACCACTGTTACTGCTGCTGCTCCCGGCTTTGAAGCTGCAGTGCTGCCTGCTACAGCACTGCCGGCTACAGCAGTGCCATCTGGCACGGGCACAGGCACTGTCAAAGGCCCTGGAGGGACTGCTGTGGTTGCCTCTAAGCACGCCTCCACTCCCATGAAGACGGACTCCCCGCCGCTCTCTGCTGCACTGCCTGCACCGCCCACCCTGCCCTCGCTCTCTGTCTGCACCTCGCCAATCGCACCGCCATCCGCCTCTCTCTCTGAACCCTCCTCGCGCTGCTCGGCTGACAGCTCACCGGCGGACTGCTGAACAGCACCAGCCAGAGCACCAGCAGGTGCCGTGGGTGTGGGCTCGGGAGTGGGAGTCGGTGTGGGTGCAGCAGTGGGTGTGGATGTGGCTTCAGGTTTAAGCATGGGTGTGTCACACGAAGCTGCCATTGTACTGCAATCTCCTGTGCCTGCTATGCCAATCTTCTCACCGCTGCCATCGCTGCCACTGCTGTCCTCCGCATCCCCCTGTCCTTCACCAGCCTTTGCTGCCAGTGCTACAATGCTCCCATCCCCTGTGCCGCCTGCCACTGCCTCACACACCTCTGCACCCCCCTGCGAGGCGCTCTCTCCTGCCCCTGCTGCCACCTGCACTGCCCCTTCCACTCGCCCTCCTTCTGTTCGTGACTCGCCTGCTGCTTCTTCTTCTGCTGCTGCTGCTGCTGCTGCCGCCATCATCCATTGCTCCTTGACTTGCCACAGCAGCAGCTCTGTCCGTGGCAATGACAACACCAGCATCGGCATCACCAGTGACAGGAGCAGAGCCAGGGCAATCGCTGCTAGGCTGGATTATAGCAACAGTCCCAGTGGGAACAGGGGCACCATGGGAATCATGTGCGTCACGTGCGTCATGGGCATCATAGGCATCATGGCACATGGCAGGTGCTGCAGTGCCAGTATGTGATGTGGCATTTGAGGCGCTGTGCAAGGGAGCAAGTGGGGGAGGATCCACAGGGGCAGGAGAGGGAGCGCAAGGGACAGGCGAAAGCGGGGCAGCTGTGTTGGCGCCACCACTGCCTCTGCTGCCCGCTGTGCTCTGCACTTCACCACCGGCCTTCACACTCGCGCTGCCACCACTGGTGTTGCCATCGCTACCACTGCCACCAAAGGTGCTGCTGCTCGTGCCAGCACTCGCGTCGCTCGACCCAGCACTCACACCCTCGCGCTGGGGCTGAGGAGCGTGCCAATGATTGCTGGTTATGCTTTTCTGCATGTTGCTGCCGTTTCCCCTGGCGTTATGATCCCATGCGCTGCTGCTGCTGCTGCTAAAGCTGGCGCGCCCTGAAACACGTGCATCTGCCCCGCTGCTGCACTCCTTCACTCTGCTCGCCCCGGATCCCTTACTCCCCGCCTTCGCCCCACTCGCCCCGCCACTGCCACTGGCGCTGCCCCAGTCACCCCAAGCGCCCGCCTTCTTCCCCCCGCCCTCCCCCTCCGCCCCTGCATTGCCCCCGCCCAGCCCCAGCGAGGAGAGCCTGCCACGGCGGTAGTCAGAGGCGAGGGAGGAGAGGGAGCGGAAGAGCGCCTTCACAATGCGCTTCGTGCCGCTGCCCACCCCCCCCGACTGCCCTGCCCCGCTCTTCCCCCCCTCTGCCTTGGTCCCCTCTGTCTTCGCCCCTGGACTCCTCCCAAACGCCGCTGCCAGGCTCCGCACGGCGCTGTTTGGTGTGTTGCCCGCACTGCCGCCCACACTGCTGCCTGTCCTCCCTGTCCCTGCTGCCCCGCTCGCCCCACCCGTCCCACTGTGCCGCCGACTGCTCGCCTCGCCCGCGCCATCCCCTGGGCAGGCCCCCTCGTCCTCCGCGCCTGCGCCGCCTGACACGGCGTGCCTGGCGGCCCTCCTCAGCGCCGACGCAGCAGCAGAGGCGGCAGAGCGAGCAGCGGACACGGGTGGGGGGGCGCGGCGGGGGGAGGGCGTGCGTGGCGATTGGGGCGCGGCCAGAGGCGCGGGGTGCTGTGGGTCCGGGACCTGCAGCGCTGCCACGCGCCCTCCCGCACTCGCTGGCCGAGCTGCCCCGCCTGCCCCGCCTACCCTGCCTGCGCGCTCGTCACTCCAGTCCGTCCCTTCCCTCGCTGGGCTCGCGCCCATGCCTGCTGGCTCCCCCTCGCGCGCGCCCACTGGCTGCGGTACAGGCAGCGCGGGCGCAGGGGGCAGGAGCGTGTGCGCGAGCCAGGGGTGCTGCAGCAGGAGGGGCGCGGAGAGGCGCGAGGCGGGGGTGGGGTCGAGCAGGCGGCGGATGAGCGCCTTGGCGGGCGCGGAGACGGACGGCCAGGGGGGCGCCTGCAGGTTGAGGCGCCCCTTGGTAATGGCGCGGAACACCTTCTTCTCTGTGTCCCCCACGAATGGCAGGTCGCCTGCTAATAACGAGTACAGCACCACGCCCAGACTCCACATGTCTGCTGACGTGTCGTAGGAGCGCCGCGCCAGCACCTCTGGCGCGACGTAGAATGGGCTGCCCGCGAAGCCCTGCGCGCGCTCCCCCGGCCCCAGGTGCAGCGCCAGCCCGAAATCCGCCAGCTTCACGTGGAGCGGGGGCGGCGGAGGGGAAGGGGAGGGCGGACAGACGGAGGCGGAAGCGGAAGGGGGAGAGGTCGTTGGAGGGGTTGTGGCGGGATCTGCAATGGTGGGGAGGCAGTGGAGGGGGGAGGTGGGGAAGGCGGAGGAGGAGGGGGAGGGGAGCGAGGAGTGGCGGAGCAGATGGCCGGGAGGGGGCGTGCTGGATTGAGAGAGGTGTGGGGAGTGGTTGGGAGGGGTGACGGACGACCCCGGCCACTGCTGCTCCAGAGGGGACAGCCCGCCGTCGTTCCCCTCCTCGTCCGCCTGCTCCCGCGGCTTCCAATCCTCCACCGCCGCCACCGCCGCACTGCCCCGCTCCCCCGCACCCCCACCTTCCCCCTCCTCCCCCGCTCCCCCCTCCCCCTCCGCCACGGGGTGCAGCAGCAGGATGTTTTCGGGCTTGAGGTCGCGGTGCAGCACGCCGCGCGCGTGGCAGAACGCCACCGCCTCCGCCAGCTGGCGGAAGACGACGGCGGCGTCCGCCTCGGAGAAGCGCTCGCGACGCACGATCTCGTGGAAGAGCTCGCCGCCGTGGCAGAGCTGCATGACGAGATGGACGGCTGAGATGTCCTCGAAGGTGGCGTGCAGCTGCACGATGTGCGCGTGGTGCCCCAGCTGCTCCAACACCTGCCCGACCAATGGAGGGGGTGGAGGGGGGAAGGGGGGGAAGATGGGGAGGGAGAGAGGGAATGGAGGAGGAACAGAGGTACATTATGGCGACAAGGGGCGGGTCTTGATGTCCACGTGAGCGTCACGCGTGATCACAGGCAGGTGCTTTGTCAGTCCGGATGATGACCCGCTAGGTTGTGCTGCATATGCCACTACTCTCAGGAAAAAAGCCGTTGCTTGACAAGACCAGCATGACGGGCCGCGGGAGAAAATGCAGGAAATTGTTGTGTTTCCGCACCTCGATTTCTCTTCGGACGTCTGCCACGTCAGCGGCGCAGCGGAGGTTGTCCTTGAGAATGCTCTTGCACGCGAACCTCTCCCCCGTGGCGCGATGCCGGCACACGCGCACCACCGACGAGCCTCCATGCCCGATCTCCTCTAAAAACTCGTACGACGCGGTTATATCGGGCGACGGCCGTGATAATATGGGGTCCCACAGACCCATGGCCTACAACGATGCGCCGACTATCCTCGTTATAGCACGAACGGACACTGCGCACTCACTTCGCATATCCTTGTCATCGAGTAAGCGACCGGATGGCAAGTGCGTGAGTCCACTGCATACAGACAAGCTCGACGAGCGCGATATGCGGGTGATGAGACGAGAGGAGTAAGACGGCAATGTCTGAATCTGATGTCCAGCGCGCGAGTAATGCGTTCGGCAGTATCGGGAATGCTGCTATGCTCTCTCTGTGATGTGTTGTTGACCACTCTGGCTCTCAGCTTCAGTTGATTGATGTGATGTGCGAGCTGTGTCACTTCACTAGTGCGGCGGAGCTGTGTACTTTTTGGCGGAGCAGACGGCCAGCGGTTTAAATAGACGGGGGTGAAGCTGAGCGGACAGAAGTTGCGCGGGCGCGACAAGGTTGAGGCGAGCTTGGTGGTTGAGGGGGGAAAGAGGGGGGCAAGCAAGAAGCGGCGGGTTGGACGTTGGGGGCGGGGCAGCGGAGAAACACAGCCAGACACACGGCACCTCCCTCGCTTTTCCCAAACAGTCGGGGGACTCGGGACTCGGGTTACGGCTACAGTACAAACCAATCTCAACGGCGGTCTTCCCGCCCACTGCCACACGGTCATTGCCGCTGACATATCCCACATGAATTGACGCGGAGCCGTTGAGCTCGCCTGCCCGCAGGCAGGAAGCTGCTGGTCGCCGTCAAGAAAATGCTGGAGAATGGAAAATGTTGCGGTGAGAGATGTGCGAAGAAAGGTAAGGAATGTTACCGGTTACAGTACACTAGTTCTACTTAGGGTTGCTTCTTTCGTTCGCTAGGGTTTTTTTGGGTTGCGTAGCAACCCTTTATATTTGGTTTCACATTTTGGGGATATCATTTCAAGAGTGGTTTTTCGTACACTCTTTGAAGCACCCGTTTGAACTATGTAAAATTGTGTTCAAACGGATGCTTCAAATAATGAATAAAAACCACTCTTGAATGAGATCCATAAATGTGAAACCAATTATTATGCACGTGCGTATCATGTTGAAACCATGAATTTGTTCAACCGTTCCAGCTCGTAGATTAATACGGCGGATGGTACGGCCGAGCATAATATTCTGGCTTCAACATGAACGAATGCAATTGTACAGATGAACAAAGTATGAAATGTGGGTGGATGCGTCAAAATGAATGTTAAAATGCATCATGTGACAACAGAGATTGATGGGGTCGTTGAAACAGCGGAAACCCGCAGCCCCAAAGACGATTAACATCCTCTAATTGCATACATGACACATTCTAACACCACACTTTGAAACACACATCCCACAAACATGAATGCAAACGCTCGTAAAAAAAATTACAACCCATCCAACCAAACGCATCGAAATGCAACCCCACTGTGAAACAAACACAACGAGAAGACATGAACACACACCCGCACAAACACACCCGCACCGCACACACATACATACACAAATAGGATTGAGAGCAGACAAGCCTAACAAAGAGTTGCAATAAGTTAATTATGTATCAATCAATGCTACTTTATCCCCCCTTCCTCCCCCTTTCCGCCTGCCTTCCTCTCCCTCCACCATCAAAATCTCCTTCCACCATTTTCCACATTGTCTTCTCTCTCGAATTCCCTTCCCTGTTCCTTACAACGCGTCTCGCGCACCTTGCAAAACAAACAGGTCAAGTAGAAAACGAATTGTAGTCGGAAAACGGAGTCAATATCAATGACGAGCATGCACTTGATTGTGAAAGAGAACTTGAAAAGCAAGTATGGGTTAAAACATGACACGTACAAAAGGAAACCGAATTTGACGACTCACAAGCGTGGTTTGAGGCTTAGATCCCCTGGGGGCTCCAGCGAGAAAGGTGCATTGGTGCAACGAACTGGGCATCGCCATGCTACAAGGCGCTAGAGAGTTGCAGCAAGGCACCGGCAGAGGAGCAAGCGGGCTGCCGTAGCAAGGCGTGAGCTCACTGCAGCAAGGCGTGAGCTCACTGCAGCAAGGCGTGAGCTCACTGCAGCAAGGCGTGAGCTCACTGCAGCAAGGCGTGAGCTCACTGCAGCAAGGCGTGAGCTCACTGCAGCAAGGCGTGAGCTCACTGCAGCAAGGCGTGAGCTCACTGCAGCAAGGCGTGAGCTCACTGCAGCAAGGCGTGAGCTCACTGCAGCAAGGCGTGAGCTCACTGCAGCAAGGCGGCAGCACGTAAGGCGGCAGCGCGTTAGGCGGCAGCGCGCAAGGCGCCAGCGCGCAAGGCGCCAGCGCGCTAGGCGGCAGCGCGTTGGGCGCCAGCGCGTCAGGCGCCAGCGCATTAGGCGCCAGCGCGTTAGGCGCCAGCGCGCAAGGCGGCAGGGCGATAGGCGCCTGCGCGCTAGGAGCCTGCGCGTTTGGCGCCAGCGGGCTAGGCGCCAGCGCTCTAAGCGCCAGCGCGATAGGCGCCAGCGTGCTGGGCGCCAGCGCTCGGCGCCAGCGCGTTAGGCGCCAGCACGCTTGGCGCATGCGCGCTAGGCGCCTGCGCGTTTGGCGCCAGCGCGCAAGGCGGCAGCGCGATAGGCGCCTGCGCGCTAGGAGCCTGCGCGTTTGGCGCCAGCGGGCTAGGCGCCAGCGCTCTAAGCGCCAGCGCGATAGGCGCCAGTGTGCTGGGCGCCAGCGCTCGGCGCCAGCGCGTTAGGCGCCAGCACGCTTGGCGCATGCGCGCTAGGCGCCTGCGCGTTTGGCGCCAGCGCGCTAGGCGCCAGCGCGTTAGGCGCCAGCGCGCTAGGCGCCAGCGCGCTAGGCGCCAGCGCGCTAGGCGCCAGCGCGTTAGGCGCCAGCGCGTTTGGCGCCAGCGCGTGACTTAGGCGCCTGCGCACTTGGCGCCAGCGCGCTAGGCGCCAGCGCGTTAGGCGCCAGCGCGATAGGTGCCAGCGCACATGGCGCCAGCGCACATGGCGCCAGAGCGTTAGGTGCCAGCGCGCTAGGCGCCAGCGCACATGGCGCCAGCGCGCTAGGCGCCAGCGCTCGGCGCCAGCACGCTTGGCGCATGCGCGCTAGGCGCCTGCGCGTTTGGCGCCAGCGCGCTAGGCGCCAGCGCGCTAGGCGCCAGCGCGTTAGGCGCCAGCGCGCTAGGCGCCAGCGCGCTAGGCGCCAGCGCGTTAGGCGCCAGCGCGTTTGGCGCCAGCGCGTTTGGCGCCAGCGCGTGACTTAGGCGCCTGCGCACTTGGCGCCAGCGCGCTAGGCGCCAGCGCGTTAGGCGCCAGCGCGTTAGGCGCCAGCGCGCTAGGCGCCAGCGCGCTAGGCGCCAGCGCACATGGCGCCAGAGCGTTAGGTGCCAGCGCGCTAGGCGCCAGCGCACATGGCGCCAGCGCGCTAGGCGCCAGCGCGCAAGGCATCAGCGCAGCAAGCGCCAGCGCCTTAGGCGCCAGCACGATAGGCGCCAGCGTTCTAGGCGCCAGAGCGTTAGGCGCCAGCGCGTTTGGCGCCAGCGCGATTTGCGCCAGCGCGCTAGGCACCGACGCGTTAGGCGCCAGCGCGTTAGGCGCCAGCGGAGCAAGCGCCAGCGCCTTCCTGCGTGCCGCACACTCTCCCTCACGCTCCCTCACTACCCTTCTTCATGCTAAGAGGAGTCCAATCGGCACGTAGCAATCATCACGAAAGTAGAAAACTTAGGAAACGTCGGCGGGAGGAGGGGGGAAAAAAGGGCCGGGAAACGGAAGCGCACCTGAGAAAACGATGCCTCAGAAAACAGCGCGCAGGGGTGCAGCAACCCGCGCTCACGCTCGTGCACCCACCAGAGGCGACAGCGAGAAAAGAGGGAGAGGCGACGGCGAGGAGGAAGGGAGAGGCTATGACGGGTGGGAGGGAGAGGGAGATGCGGGAATGAGGGAGAGGAGATAGCGGGGAGCGAGGGAGAGGATACAGGATGGGAGGAGAGGCGATGGTAGGAACCAAATCAGAACAAGAACCAACCAAGAACAAGAACCGAGAACCAAGAACCAAGAAGAGAGCGTCCAATACAAGTTGACGGGTGTGGAAAGAACAAATACAATGTTTACTCGTTAGAAGTTTGCATGATGTTTTAGAAAGATGCGATTTTCATATTGTAAAAGTGATTGTATCGTCAAGCTGCTACCTTGGCTGCATCATGTTCATAAAGCGGGATTGTTGCAACACAACCACCCAAAACTTGTCACCAACAGAATATCCAAAAGCATTGCATTGATTTTGCTAAGGGAGTGTGTGAATCTAAATATTACCATAAGTTTACAATTTGGACTCGATTGTAGCAAGTGAACACAAAGCGAGCCTGACTCGATTTTGAGTGCTTGCAAAGTTCGAACCGCCAGAGTCAAAAGTTGCACACTCAAAACCACACACGCAAGTGCGAATTTGCAAGTTCGAGCTTGTAGGGGGGGAACCGAACCGCCACTTGGGTGTGTAGGTTACCCAGTTTCGGCATCTTGACAGCGCGACACGTCAACGGAGCGCGCCCCCCAAACGGACCCTCTAGACCTCCACCTCATCATCGTGCCCCGTATGGACCACCAAGCTACAAAGGTGAGTTGGCCCATGCATGCTCCAACTCACCATTCCACCATTTTGGTGGCTGATGTGGGGTGTACATTGTTGGCGCGAATTTCGCTGCCAGTGCGCCAACTTCTAGTCAAGCGCAGAAGCGGCACGTCATCGTGCCACGACATGATACACGTGGCGGCAGTTGCCTGAATGGGTATGCAGTGGGTTTCGGTTGTGCATCTATTGGTGCACGAATGCTTTGCGATTGTCGCGCACTCCTCGTACGTGCCTGAAACCACACACGTTCGCTTCAACGTGCAAAACCATGTTTGCTCATAAACTCGAATCTTGTTCACTTTGGGGGGTTCGAGTGCCATCAGGATCAGTTTGACCCCAGAGTCGGCGAAAGAATTTGCGAACAACTGCGAAACTAGTTACCACCCTAAGTTCGAACCTATTTTCGAACTTCATTTAGATTCACACACGCCCTAATAACCTGATTGGGTTTGCAATAAACAAGACTGAAAACAATCTCGGAAGATTACCGTACCAGTATATAACTAATAACGAGCACTTAAGACAGTGCAACGTGGTTCAGTGCGCTCCGAAAATCCACCATACACTGTCTAAGCAGAAACAAGCAAGCAGTAACAAGCAGAGACAAGAAACGATTCACTATAGTAACTTGCTAGTGGTATAGAAATATATGGAGGTAAACATCCTTGCCTATTACAATCGCAACAATATAATAAATGTAAAAAAATGTACATACCATAATTACTAGTTTTACTAGGGATCTAGCAAGCTTGTCCCACACTAAGTAAATACGACAAACATAATAATTCACTTTCCATAATCATGTTATAAAATGTTACATCATTATGTTCCTTACACCAGAAATACAATACTACGCAACCCTTACGACGTAAACGTCGAATCTTGTTTTTATGATTTCAGAATTTGACCTAAAATTGCTCTGATGACTTGGAGTATCCTATTTTCACTCGTTTTGATGGTCGGCCATTTCCAAAAGCGCGTAGCCTGATCAGCACTCGTCGCGCATTATTTGTGCAGATCAGGGCAGCAGTTTTCGACTCTGCTCAGCCATGGCCACAGCGAGCGATGATATCGAGAAGCTTTACGAACATGGGGAGAAATTAGCGAGCTCTAAGGACAAGACGCAGGTTAGCATTTCGATTTAGAAGCCAGCGTTCCTCTGCGAGGACGACCTATTCTGACACCCAACCATGGTTGTGCCTTGCAGAACGAGAAGGACTACCTCGGGGTCATCGCGGCTGCGACGGGAAGCAGCAAGGCGAAGCTGTTCGCAGCGCAGCAAATTCCCCGCTTCTTTAAATTCTTTCCGCAGCTTTCCGCCGAAGGCATTAACGCGCAGCTAGATCTCTGCGAGGATGACGACATCAATGTAAGGATGACGATAGCAATGTGTCGCGGACAGCAATGAATAGATTGCCGCGTCAACGCATAGGATAACGAGTTTTGGCGACGTGCTTTGCCAACGCTGATAGCATGTTGCCCCGGTCGCTCAGTAATAGCTGGAGGCGACATTGCGTACGGCAGTGGAATGAGTTGTAACTATCCCCGGATGCCGTCCCCTGTTGCTCTGGTCAGATTCGACTACCCGCCATTCGAGGGCTCCCGTTTCTGTGCAAGGACACACCGGAGCATCTCCCGAAGATCGCTGATGTGCTGGGCCAGCTGCTCATTGGAGGTACGCTCGCTGTGATGGACGCTGGTGGTGCGGCGAGTGTGCATTGGAGGTAGGGGGCGAGAGTTAATTGCACGTCCATTTGTAGGCAACAACTTAGAAAAATACATCGTTTGATAAACAAGTTCAAACGTGTGTGAGTGTGCGCGGGTGTGTGTGTGGGTGTGGGTGGGTGCGCGTGTATGGCAGAGGAGCCGGAGCACGGAGTGGTGCAGAACTCGTTGATGCAGGTGCTCAGGCAGGACCCTAAAGGTGAGCCCGCTTACTCGCTCTGCCTCGTGCTTGCCATGCCTCGTGCTTGCCATGCCTCGTGCTTGCCATGCCACAGCCGCATTCTTGTCAGCTGTAGCTGCCTGTTTTCCTCGCTGATGCACTGACGAGTGGTGGCGAGGCGGTGGCATGGCAGGGAGCCTGGCGGCCATATTCAAGCACATAGAGAGCTCCGAGGACAAGCTGCGGGAGAACGTGCTCTCCTTCATCCGCGACAAGGTCTGCTGCCCATTCTGCACCTTGCAACACCTTGCCCTTGCGCTCATGCACTTGAAAACTATTATCTGGATTCTTTTTCCTTGATGCCACGAATCTGACGTGTGCCCCCCACATGGCGCCATGGCGTGGCAGGTGTTTCCGAACAAGGCAAGCGTCCTGGTGCCTCAGGCGGAGATGGAAAGACACGTGACTGACCTGATCAAGGTGAGAGAGACACGTCAATAGCCAAGGTGTGGTGCAGAAGCACTCACTTATTCCCACTAACTGTGCCAAATATTATCCTCTCTTGTCATCCAAGGAAAGGCCTTGGTGTTGAATCACATCCATGTGAAGCAATTCCTTTCACCCTCCGCTGCTGCATGCTGGCTGCTTGTCCCACCATATCCCATAACATCCCACGGAATCCCACCGTATCTCCGGGTGTGGCAGGGCATACAAGACGTGACGGGGGAGGAGTTCAGCATGTTCATGGCGTTCCTGCAGGGCCTCGCGCTCTTTGGCGCCAAGGCACCGCCAGAGCGGATGCAGGAGCTGGTCGAGATCGTCGAGGGGCAGGCTGACCTCCTCGCCTCCTTCGATGTCAGTCACCACCCACACCCCCTCTGCACCGCTCCCTTGCTGTCGCCTCTGCAACCCTCGCTCGCCCTCTCTGGCCTTCTGTCGCCCTGTAGTGGTGACCCCTCTCACCTGCTGCTTGTATCGTCCAGCCCGCGATCTCACCAGCAGCGCTGAGAATGTGTTTGCAAAGCCTGCCGCATCACCATTATTCCGCCTGGTGCATCTTGTGGCAGCTTGGGCTAGTGTAGTGGCCATGGCACTGCCTGTGCGCCATTGCGCGCCATCCCATCCTATCCCATCCCATTCCATCCCATGCCATGCCATCCCACCACACGCCGTGTGCAGGCGTCAGACACGGATCACATAGAGCGAGTCATGGCATGCCTGCAGATGGCGCTGCCCTTCTTCGCTGTCAGTGCCCTCCCTGCCCCTCGCCCTCGCCCCTGCCCCCGCCCGTGCTGCCTATGCTGCCCTTGCCTGCGCCATGCCTCTGTGCGGCACATGAGTGCCACAGTGCCATACGCCCCACTGCTCTGCCACGCCACCATCATTTGTGCCATCTCTGCTCTCTCCATTCCACCTCATCCCAAAACCTACCCTCCTTCATTTTGCAGCAGTCGCTGATTCTCTTTGATTGCATTCCCTACGGCTTCTTTCTCACCCTGTTTCCTGACGTTCCAAGCCAACCATCGTGATCAACCTCCCGCATCAGTCTCTTTCTCTCCGTTGAGCCACTTGACACCATATCCCGATTCCAAGTTGATTGATTCTCATTCACTCACCATGCTGTCGGACCTGCAATCACACCCATCTCCACACCTGCTCACCGCTTTCGATGCAGAGGGGCGGGTCAAACAGCAAGTTCTTCAACTTCATCGCCAAGCACATCCTCCCCGCATTCGACAAGGTACCGCCCTGCCCTTCCCCGGCCTCCTTTGGACAGGCCGCACACGCAGCTTTTTCCCGGCTTGGTCGAGCTGAAGCACATTGCAGCCATAACTGCATTGCTGAACAGAGGCACAGCAAGGCCCACGCATGACTGCATGCGAGCTACCGGTGTTCGTGCACTCTGCTGCACGAATGGCATTGCATCGTGCACCTTCACTGCGTTGCTGAACACAGCTCTTTCCCACCATACCCCCATGTGGTGCATGGCATGGCAGGTGGCGGAGGACAGGAGGGGCGAGCTGCTGAGGAGCATGGCGGAGGCGTCGCCCTTCACATCACCCGCCGACTCCAGACACCTGCTGCCGGGGGTCACTGACCTGCTCAAGGTGAGTGCGTGCCCTCAGGTGCCCTCAGGTGCCCTCAGGTGCCCTCAGGAGTGAGTGAGTTCTGGTCAAGGTCCAGCACTGACCTGCTCAAGGTGTGACTCCACTCCATCGCGCAAGCTCAGTGCATGCCTTGAGGCTTCAACCCTAGATTTCAGGCTTAGGGTACATGCGATGCGAGCCCACCACCCCAGCCGCGTTCATCCACATCACCCTCCGACTCCAGACACCTGCTGCTGCCGGGGGTCACTGATCTGCTCAAGCTGAGTGCGTGCCCTCAGGTGCCCTCAGGTGCCCTCAGGAGTGAGTGCTGGTCAAGGTACACGCCACGCTACCCCACCACCCGGGCCCGGTTCACAGCGCCAGCTGACTCCACACACCTGCTACCGTGTCACCAGCTTAGGGCAATGACTCCAGACCCTGCTACCCTAAACCCTCAAGGTTGCTCACCAGCTTTGGGCAATTACTCTGTCCCGTGCAGCTGCACCGCTCACTTCCACTCAAGCCGCATCTTCAACTGTCAAAAGTCTTACTCCCCCCCACGAGTCGCCATCCTTTGTTGTGCATGGCACGGCAGGAGTACATGGCGAAGAAGGGCGCGGATGTGGACATCACGTCACTGGAGGCGCTGCTCTTCACCTTCAACCAGCTCGCCCACAAGGTGCTGCTTGCTCTCACTCAACTCAACTCAACTCAACCACCTCTGCCTGTGTACCCGCGCCACTCAGTTTTGTTCAAAGGCGCCTCTGGCCTCGCATGGGCGGCATTCATGCTTTGCATATAAGGGTTTTGTGAGTGCAGCGCGTGGGTTGGTGGGGATGGTATGCACCCACGATGCCATGCCTTGGCTCTGTCTTCATGCACTCTAGGTAGCACGCGTGCATGGGCATGTATTTGCCACATTGCACTTCCCATTTTCCTGCCTCCCTGCCTCCCTGCCTCCCTGCCTCCCTGCCTCACTGCCTTCTTCCCTGCCCCCCTGCTGCCCTCTCCACAGACGCCCAACGCCACGAATGCGCTGTGCGGGTACAAGATCGTGACGGGGCAGCCCTCTGACCGCCTGGGAGAGGACTTCAAAGACCTGCACGCTGACTGGCTCGCCAGGTACCTCCTGCCCTGCCCACGCCTGCCTGCCCAGCTGATGCTTGCCCCGATGACACCCGCCCAGGTGACGCGTGTTCAAGTCGTGCATGATCAAATAAGGCCCATTCAGAAAACGCCTGTTTATGTAACGCCTGTCCAGATAACAGTCGTCCACGTAACACCTGTTCTGGTAAGGCCTTGCTTGGCGGGTGACGGCTCATTCCCCACCATCCGCACTGATTTCCTTCACCACTCATGGGCTGGTTCCGCTGGTGCTGTGTGTTTCCTACGGCCTGCTGCTTGCTCGCTGATGCCTGCTCCCTGCTCTCTGCTCGCTGGTTGCCCGTGCCGTGCCCCCAGGGTGACGGGCATGGAGGACGAGGTGAAGAAGCGCATCAAAGCCGTGCTGCAGGAGGTGGCGGAGGTGGGCAAGCAGCAGCGCTCCGCCAAGGATGAGCCCACCGTCACGCAACTTGTAAGACCCCCTCCCCGCCCGCCTGCTTGCCTGCCTGCCTGGCGGCATACCTGCCTGCGTGCTCCACATGCTGCCTGCCTGAGTCATGGCTGGTTCACATTCTGTGTCATGGCATGCTCCACACGCGCTCACATTCATATGTACACACATGCTCACATGCGCACATGCTCACATGCTCACATGCGCACATGCTCACATGCTCACATGCTCACATGCTCACATGCGCGCATGCTCACATGCTCACATGCTCACATGCTCACATGCTCACATGCGCACATGCTCACATGCTCACATGCTTAAAAGCGCACACCACCTGTGTGCCCACTCTCCCCTTGTGTGGAACGATGATGGCAGAAGGAGAAGAAGGCAGCAGCGGCGCGCACACTCAAGGCATTGCAGAACATTGAGAAGCTCAGCAAGGTGCGTTGGGCTCACAGCAAGGGGCGTAATAGCAGCACTCATGGCATGGCCCACATTCTTCCATGTCAAATTCTTGGCAATCATGATCTGGCTGTCCAACCCCGCGCAGTGTAAGCTTTTCATAGATCAGCAGCGCTACCATACAATTGCTGCTCATACCTCTTCCTCCTTCCTTCTGCCCCCCGCGCCGCACTGCCATCACACTCTCTTTGCATCCCAACTTACCTGGCATGCTCCTTACCACGCGCCGCCTTTGCCACACACACTCTTACCCGCCCCGCACATTGGCACCATTGACTCTTTCCCGCACCACCCCTGTGTGCCCTTTGCACTGCGCCCCGTGCTCTTTTCACTGCCCCGCCGCCCAGCCGCTCAAGTCCACTGTGCCGCAGTTCCTGGGCGGCAAGGCGGCTCCAGCCCTCTCCTGGAAACCGGAGGCAGCCCCTGCAGGGCCCTCCGCTCCCAAGCCAGGGTCAACACAAGCAGTCGGGTACGTCTCACTGCTCTCCTGCTTCGTCAGCCTTGCAGTCAGGAGTCTCCTGTTTTTATGTGTCGTGTGTTTGCTGTGCCTCTGCTCCTGGCAGGCCCATTTCACTTAAATCTCTCCCTCCTCCCCGTCCCCCCTTCCCTTCATCCCACGTGTCCCACGCCCTACTGCATGCAGGGCAAAACGAGGAGCAGGAGCAGCCAATGGCAGGGGCGGGGCGGCAGCAGCACCGCAGCAGAAGAAGGTGCGGCAGGATGGCGGTGCAGGTGGCGGCGGTGGTGGGAAGCTCATTGGGCGGGCCGTGCAGGGCATTCAGGGAGGGGGTGGTCAAGGCGGTAGAGGTGGCAGTGGAGGTGGAAGGTCCCGAAGGCCCTGGCGGAGGGGGGGAAGAATGTAATTAGGTTACTAGGTTTAGCACTAGTGGTTTGCCCGCGTATGTTGGCTGGCTCCTCTCCTTGGGCAAAAGTTGATGTGGAGGCACCAACTCTTATATGATGGAAAATCACAAGGGGGTCCGGTCCAGTCTGAACGTGCTGCCTAGGTCTTTCCATTCAGGCCTCGTTCAGGTTCCTGTTTTAACAATACAATCACAAACCTGCACTTAACATAGTGTGCAAAGTGCACCTCATCCATGTAACCTGCTTAGGAATTCGCTTCGTCTGGTAACAAGCTCTTGCTAAGACTTCGCTACCCTTCGCACACTAAAATGATTATCCGTCAATCACTCGATGATCAGAGCGCACCCTTCGTCGACCAACTTCGCGCCACTACGACGGTGGAACGAAATTTGCCCGCGAGAGCGAGCCGCATGTCGAAATTTGGGTTCTGAGCGAAGCGCGACCGTACTGCATCATCTTGCTGCAGGGCTTCCCCCCCACCTTCCCTCACCAGCCGACAACAACGATGGATTCACAGATGGGTTTCATTCGAGCTGGACAAGCCTCTTTCAGCCTCCATACCACCGTCGCGCACCAAACTAGGGAGGGGGACTCAAAACATACGCTCAGTCAAGGGCAGTGCGAGATACAGCCGACACTTCCACATCAGATCTGTCCAGTCGCTGCTCTCGCCTTGGCTGATCTGTTGGCCTTGTGATGCATGGTGAGGTGCAAGACCTGTGTTTTATCTCATTGATGCTGCGAAACGTCGAACGTCATAGGAGCAGAAAGTACAAACGGTGAAACCTATCATCCATGTAGGCACTAGCAACTACTGATGACCAATTCGCGATTAACCTAGGCCGAAGAAGTGCTCTTTCATCGCAATGAAAAACGTCGTAGTGGCGCTTCGCAGTCTCTAACCAGTGACGCGACGACACTCTTGAACTTATGCGTCGCTCTCCTCAATTTCTCATCGCTCAGCCTCTAAACTTATGAGTCACGCCTCGCTGCCACCCAGCCTCGCATCGCCCACTCTCGTACCGCGTGCAGCCATGAAGCGCCAACCCGTCGCAAGCAGGGTTTGCATTTTCACGAGAAGCTCGCCACGAATAGCGCTACATTGCTAGGTTCCGCATAAAACCTCGACTAGGCACCCCCACGTTAGCACTCAGTAGGGGTAACAGACCTTGCATTAGTTAGTACGTTGCACGAACTCAAAAGACTGGCTAGGAAAATTTAGCCGTTACGAACGGAGTGCCGGACTGCGGGCGCCATGTGGTGGCACTGCAGCAGACGCGGCGGCAGTTTAGCGTTTCAGTGCACAGCGTTAACGTGGAGCATTCTTATTGGCTTAGCGTTGTCGTGCGATCTTTTCGACGGTAAATGGGTGGCGGACTCGTCGCGGCCGCCCTACGATGAAAGCTGTCCTTTCCTCGTAAGCTCGCCGCGCGCCCCCCTGTGCGTCCCCTCTCCTCTTTCCGTGCGCCTGTCATTTCTACCCTTCCTCCCCTCTCCCCTCAGTTTCCCCAACATTCCACTCCCCTCCACTCCACATCCCGCCCTCCGCGCGCCCCTCCCCCCTTCCGTGCCTTCCCCCCGCGCAGTTTCAAATTTCCCGGTGTCGCGGCAACGGGCGGCCGGACAGCGGGTTCGTGCGCTACTCGTGGTACTCCAACAGCTGCGGCCGCACGCTCCGCTTCAACTCCAAGTGCGTCTCCCGCGTTCACCCGCGCGCTTCCCGCACGCGTCCCTCACGCATCCCCTGTATCGCCAATGCACCCGTGCGCCATCGCACCCCCACAACCCGCGGTTAACCCAGTCCGCGCGCACCCCGCTCGTTGCTGTCACCACAGCCGCTGTCAGACCCCGTCCCGCGACTCCTTGCGTCCCCGCGCTTTCCGCATTCAGACCCGCCGATCTTTGATCGGCCCATCGCTGTGTGCTGATGTACAGCGCGAGCTGATCGAAGCCTCAACTTGAACGCGAATCTGATCGGATTGAATTCAACTGTGATCCGTGCAGGTCGTTTCTGAACATGATCAAGGGCAAGACCATCGCCGTCATCGGCGACTCGCTCACCGCCGCCAACTTCGTGCCCTCGCTGCTGTGCCAGGTGAGGCGTGATGGTAGAGGGCTAGTCGCTGCTGTGAGGTTGAGGGGAACGAGATGCTGTGAGGTGAGGGTGAGTCGCTGCTTCGCCAGGTGCGACCGCAAATCCTTCAGCGGGACTAATATCCTCTTCCCCGCTCCCCTCCCCTCCTCCCCCCTCCTCCGCCCTCATCCGCCCCCCTCCGCGCGCGCCACTGGCGCGCAGATCAGCGAGGTCACGACGGTAAAGAACGGGTCGCGGCGCACGCTGGACGGCGGCAGCGGCGCACGGTACATGCCGCCCATGGTGGCGTTCTACTACGACATCCCCGCGTTCGGCGCGCGCATTGTCAGCATCTGGGACGACTACCTCATGCGCACGTCCGTCGGTACGTATGTTGAGGGTCTGTGGGTACGCTGGGCGGCGGGCAGGCAATGTCATAACCACGTGGGGGTAGGCGGGGCAAGCTGTGCCGTGGGTAACTGGAACCTCGCAGCGTTGGCATCATCTAGGAGGACCATCGGTATGCGCGCATCCGTCGCTAAGTTGGGAGGCGGCGAGAAGGCAGTGCCGTGGGTGGGCCTGGTCCGTCGGTACGTTGCGGCGGGCAAGCGCGCGGGTAGGGCCATGGGGTGCGGTGAGGCACCTCATGCGCGAGGGGCCGGGTTGATCCGCGGAGACACCCATGCGTGGCGAATGCGGTGTGTAAGAGCGCCTGCCTTGACAACCCTCCCTCCCCTCTTCTGCTGTGCGCTCAATACTCGCTCCCTCCCTCCCCTCTTCTGCTGTGCGCTCAATACTCGCTCCCTCCCTCCCCTCTTCTGCTGTGCGCTCAATACTCGCTCCCTCCCTCCCCTCTTCTGCTATGCGCTCAATACTCGCTCCCTCCCTCCCTCCCTCCCTCCCTCTCTCCCTGACACACTCTTCCGCCCCCACCCCCGTAATGGCGCGCCGTGCTGAATTTCCTCTCCCTCCCCCCCCCTTTGCAAGCACCCACGCAACCACGCCCACTCTCATACACGCACACAAAAAACAGACAAGGGGATGATAGCGAAGCTAGCGACGGGGTTCACGCCCCGACGACGCGATCATGGACGTGGAGAGCGTCAACCCACAGCGGAACGACGTGGTGGCGCGACGTAACGGTGCGCCGTGTTGATCTCCCTCTCCCTCCTCCCCCCTCCCTTGCACACAACGCCACAGACAAGGGCATGATAGCCAAACTAGCGACGGGGTTCACACCCGGCCCCGACGACGCGATCATCGACGTGGAGACCGTCAACCCGCAGTGGGGCAACATCGTGGGCGAGTGGCACGCGGTAGTGATGGAAACCACGTCGCACTGGCGCGTCGTGCCCGACGCGCCGCGCCTCATCTTCACCAACGACGACTGGCAGACGCTCAACGGCGTCGACCCCTACATGGCGCACGCGTGAGTGCCGCACGGAGAGCGAAGGTGGGTGCATGGGGCTTGTGCGATTCAGAGAAGAAACCATGCCCGCTCGCACGCATGCAGCACGCTCACGCATGGCCCCATCCGCCGCCCTCCTTGGACGTATCCTTCCCCTCTTCTTCTCTCCCCTTCCCCGTTGCCCCGTTTCTCCCCGCTCCCACTCCAGGCGCGCGCTGAAAACGATCGCCAACTTCTTCGAGGCGCGACGGCAGGCGGGGAAGGCGTTCCCCGTGCCCTTCTTCATGACGGCGCCCCCGCAGCACTCCGCCAAGAAGATCGGCGGCAGCGGCGTGTGCGGGTCGCCGGGGCGCGTGTTGAACGAGAAGGAGATCGAGAAGATGCTGCGCACCAACGTGCAGCTGTCGCGCTACTGGCCCATGCAGCGCGCCGCGTTCCCTGAGGGGTCGGCGGTGCGGCGGTTTGACATCACGCTCGTGAGCGCGTACCGGCCCGAGGCGCACTGCGGGATCTACTCGAAAAAGAACAACGTGCGTGGCCGCCCTGACTCCTCTGAATCCTCTTCGCTCCTCTCACTCGTCTCACCTTCTCACTCCTCTCACCTCGCTCGCCCTTCTCACTCCTCTCACCCCTCGCACTCGTCGCACTCATACAGAACGAATTGCATTTCCAGTTTTGTTGCATGTTTGACCACACATATATCCACTCCCATCCCCATCCTCACTCTCATTCCCACTCGCATCCCCACCGCCCACCCCCACAGCCGGTGAAGTACCTGGACTGTTTGCACTGGTGCCAGCCAGGCGTACCTGGACTGTTTGCACCGCCCACTGATCCCCTCCCTTCTCGCTCTTCTCGTCCCTCTCACCCATCTCACTCCTCGCACTCAGACATAACAAATTGCATTTCCGGTTTTGGTGCATGTTTGACCACACACGTATCCACTCCCATCCCCACCACCATCCCCTTCCCCATCCCCATCCCCACTCTCATTCCCACTCGCATCCTCACCCCCCATCCCCCAACAACTAGTGAAGTATTTAGACTGTCTGCACTGACGCCAGCCAGGCGTGCGGACATCTAAATGCCTCTGCATATCCACACGCATCCCCGTCCTCAATCGCATATCCATCCCACCTTCCCTTCCCTACCCATGTCCACAACCTCCACCCCCTTCATCCCTCACAGCCGGTGAAATCACTGGACTGTCAGCACTGGTGCCACCCGGGCGTGCCGGACATATGGGTGGACCTCTTCCACGAGATGCTGCACGTGGATTGCGCACATATCCACTCCCTTCCCTGTCCTCGTCCCCATCCTATCCCCAATTTATAACTTCCCCAATGCTCATCTCCATCCCCACTCCCATTCCCATCCCCTACCCCCACCGACCCTCCAACACAGCCGGTGAAGTACCTGGACTGTTTGCACTGGTGCCAGCCAGGCGTGCCGGACATCTGGGTGGACCTCTTCCACGAGATGCTGCTGGCCGAGCCGCTCTTTTCCGGCGACTCCACCACTGCCGCCTCCAAGCCTAAACCCAAGCCTAAGCCTCAAACCAAGCCCAAGAAGCCCAAGCCATCCCCATCGCCCTCCAAGCCGAAAGCATCCCCGTCGCCTTCCAAACCTAAGCCCTCCCCATCACCATCCCCCGCCAAGTCGCCGCCTCCGCCGCCGCCGCCGGCCTCCCCACCCCCTTACGTGCCGCTAGACCCCACCAAGCCCAACCGCTTCAAACGCAAGCCAGGCACGTGAGGGGAGCAGCAGGGAGGGCGAGAGATGATGGTTGTGTGTGCACACGGTTTGTGGAAAGCCCATTGATGAGCCTGCCTGAGTGACAAGCTCGTCAAGAGTGGCGGACGAATGAACCAAGGGGCCTGACCAAGGATGACTTATTTCTTTGCAAGGTTTGAGCAAGGCACAGGGTGTTTTGAGAGTTCTCGAACGTATGGTGCCAGAGGTGTGTGCATCCATCAATTGATGCCAACCGCGCACCTTATAGTGGAACGGTGCCCCTTCCACAATAGTAGCATACATGTGTCACTGATGCGCACTGACCATCCCCTAGATGGAATTGGATGTGTTAGCATGTGTTGGGCTGATAAAAGCCCTTAGGATCTTTGCAGGGGTGAATTCGGGGTAGGATAATTGTAATAGCGGAAGCGTTTAATAAAGAAGTTGTGAACCACCTTGCGCTGGTATGTGAGGGCAAAGTAAGTTGATTAAAGCAAAGAGATACAAGCATTTATATATGAGTACAAGGAATATGAAAGGATACGGTTATAACTGCTTTACTGTTGCTGTTGCGGTTCGATACAGTGACGACTCGGGCAACTGCTCTGTAGCGAGTCAGTTGTGTGTCCTTGCTGTCGTGCTGTACTTGTCAGGTCAAAGGTCGCTTGACCTTTGACTTTCGCGTAACCTCCAGCAACCTCTTTTAACCTCCGAGGGTTGACTCGCGTGTGTGCCTCATTATAGTTTGCTTTGCTTCGGGTGCGGTGTTTCGACACGACAGAGGCGCTTAAGATTTACTGTTTCCAACACTCCCCTTCGCTTCTGGAGTGTCGCAGCTGATGACGTGGCTTTGTCCAGTCAGCAGCATGCAATACTCAAACTTCTGCTTTCCGAGCTTCTTGGTCAAATAGTCGGCTGCCATCTCGGACGTGGGACAGTATGACAGCTCGAGTCTTCCCTTCTCGATCTCGTCCTTTACGAAGAAATAGCGTAGGGCGATGTGTTTCGTCCTGTTCGCGAAGCCGCTTTTGTTGGCGATGCGAATTGCCGACTGGTTGTCGCAGAACAGGGTGAAGTTGGGTAACTCAGCTAATTTCGCTTCTTCCAGCAGCTCGCGAAGGTAAAGTCCTTCTTTGGTGGCTGAGCAGAGTGCAATGTATTCTGCTTCAGCTGATTGTCAGAGGTCCACTGGAGATCCCCGATGATCCTAGGGAAGGGTTACAGGCCCGTTGGCCTGGGGGGTTATGGGCGCACTCACCCGCTATATAAACAAGCCATTTTATCCCAGTGGTTAGTGGCTGGGATTCTGACATCGTATCAGCGCGAAGGTCTCGGGTTCGATTCCCGGTGTGTGCACTTCGGGCATCCCAGTGCGGGGGGGTGTCAGAGGTCCACTGGAGATCCCCGATGATCCTAGGGAAGGGTTACAGGCCCGTTGGCCTGGGGGGTTATGGGCGCACTCACCCGCTATATAAACAAGCCCTTTTATCCCAGTGGTTAGTGGCTGGGATTCTGACACTGATGAGAGTGCGATTAACTCCTGCTTGCTCGACTGCCAGGAGATAGGACCGATAGGTTCAAGGCGATAGATGTAGCCGGTGCGCGAGCGTCTGTTGTCTGAGTCACCAGCATGATCTGCGTCGACGTAGCCGATTAACTTAGTCGGTGTAGTTGCGTTCTTGTGGTAGGTTAGCCCGATCGTCGGAGTGCTGACGAGGTAGTGAAGAGCGCGGTCGAGCTCTGCTAGGTGCTCTGCTTCGGGTCTTTTGAGGTAGGTGGCGAGTTGGCTTGCGGAGTAGGATAGGTCTGGGCGACAGGTGACGGCTGCGAAGAGAAGGCATCCCAGCTTTCTCTGGTAGTCGCGAATGCCGGCAGGCTTGAGTAGAGCGGATTTACCCTTGTTGTTTCCTGTCGTGTAGCGATATGGTGTGGAGATGGCGGTTGGTGTAAGAGCGAAACGCTTGGCGATGGTGTCGGCGTATTTCGCGGCACTGAGGTAGATCGCGTTGTCTTCTTCTCAGATGTTGAGCCCAAGGTACTGTGTGACGGTAGACGAAACCGCAAGTGTGAGGTCTTGCTGTAGCTCCCCTTCGAACCAGGTGGTGATGCTGTCGGACGAGCCGATGTAGAGGAGGTCGTCTACATAGACGATTAGTAGAATGTAGTCGGTGTTCTTTGTAAGTCGGTACATGCCCTGATCGTGCGGCAGTTGTTTGAAGCCGATGCGGACGAGGCGAGCGTGTAGATACTGTTGCCACAGTCGCGGAGCCTGTTTGATGCCGTAGAGCGATTTGAGCAGCTGGCAGACGTGTGTGGAGTCCGTGCTGGAGCCGTGTGGTAGCTCCACAAAAATCTCTGCGTCAACAGGTGCGTAGAGAAATGCGTTCGCAACGTCGATTTGTCTCAGCTTCTTCTTCTTCATGGCGGCGATTGCGAGGACAATTCGCAGTGAGGTGTGTCGACTCACAAGTGCGAATGTTTCGGTGAAGTCGCGTCCGTGCTCTTGGTCGAAGCCGCGCACGACCCATCGTGCTTTGAACTTCTCGATGGTGCCGTCTGCTTTCGTTTTCACGCGGAAGACCCATTTTCCGGTGAGGATGGTTTTGTTCCGTGCTACGCTGATGGGGACGACTTTCCACGTGTTGCGCTCTTCTAATGCTTTCAGCTCCCTGTCCATGGCTTCGCGCCATTTTTCCCTGTGCTCCCCCCCCAGAGCCTGTTGAACCGTCGCAGGCTCCTTAGGAATGGCGGGACCGTGGACTGCGGTGACGAGCCCGAGTATCTGAAGTCCACTCTGTGTGTAGCGGGGGAGTGTGGTATCCTCGGGATAAACTGCTTCGTCTCCCGTTTCAGGTGTTGGATTGAAATTCGGTCCTACTCGTTCTGCTTCGTTGGTGTTGACCCGTGCAGGTGTAACGTAACCGTTGTCGGCGAAATCGTAGAAGACTTCGGCGTTGATGCTTTCGCGAGGATTTTCGTCGTCCATTGGGATGTCCACGGAGCAGTAAGGGAGAGGTCCGGCTTCCTCCGAGGCTCCCTCCACGTTCTGCTCGTCCCAGTCAGCTTCGTCTTCTGCCGAGGCGAAGGCTCGGTTCCCAAGAAATCCGCCCGAGAGGTCAGGTCTGTTTTCTTCGACGTACATGAGGTGAGTTCCGAGGGTGAGGTTCTCGTAGAAGATAACGTCACGTGCTGCTACTGTTTCCTTGCTGTTGATGTCGAAAATTTTCCATGCGTTGTAATGCTTTTCGATGCCCAGGTGCAGTCCCCACTGTGCGCGTTGAGAGAATCGCCCAGCTCGTGCAGATGGAGGTCGGTACTGTACCATGCAGCCAAAAACTCGTAACATTTTTGTGCTGCCCAATTTTCCTGTCCACAGCAGATGCGGTGATGCGTTGTTCGGGAGCGATGATGACGAAAGCAAGTTGTGCAGCATCACGGCGTGGTCCATTGCTTCGGGCCACTGGTGGTTGGGCAGGTGCATGCCACGTAGCAGCTTGCGCATGGTGGCTTGGAGTGTCCTGTTCATCCGTTCTGCTACACCTTGCTGTTGGTGGGCGTAGGGTAGAGAGATGAGTCTTTTGATCCCTCTTTCTGCCAAGTACTGCTTGAACCTCTGTGAGGTGTATTCTCCTCCCCCGTCTGACTGGAAGCCCGATTCTCTTTCTGCTACGAGGAGCCACGCAACGAAGGCTTCGAAGGCCATGTCTCTGCTTGGAAGGTTGAGATGCCACACGTAGCGTGTCGCGGCGTCGATGAACGTGATGGTGTAACTGTAGGCGTTTTGTCCGGGTTCACGGTTATACAACATGTCGCTGTACACATTTTCCAGAGGTGTGTACGCAGGTGCGCTTGGATTGTGATGCGAGACGAACGGCTGATGCGGTAAGTCAGCTTCAGGGCAGGTGAAGCACGTTCCACGGGCTCGTTGAAGTTCTCTGCCGTCGGTCAGTAGGAGTGAATCTTTGTCGAGCACTCCTGCTCTTATCGTGTTGTTTAACGTTGTGTTGCTTGGGTGTCCCATTCTTGCGTGCCAGGTTCCTTCAGTGGCGCGATGTCCAGGTGACCGTCGATACAGATCGGTGGTGAATCGTCGATGGAGATTGGTGCCGTTGAAGGACCGGCGATTGGTGTCGATGTTGCCGCTGCTGCTGTTGTTGTCTCTGCTGCTGCCGATGTTGTTTCTGCTGCTGCTGATGTTGTTGCTGCTGCTGCCGATGTTGCTTGAATTGTTGCTAACGCTCTTGTTCGTTTTGTTTCAGGTATCGTGTGAGTGCCAGAAACCGCCGGGGCTGAAGTCTGGGTCAAGATCTGGAGGATGTGTCCAAGGAGCAAAACTGACGATGCCGTCGCTGTCAGCGGTGCCAAGGTCTGGTACGAAATCAAGAACGAAGACGTTGTTCTTGAGGATCGCCTTTCCGATGTAGAGGCCGCCCTTTCCGTGGTACAGCTTGAACTCCTGGGTGGTGCTGTCTGCTTCGAGGTGAATGCCTTTCGCCATCAACTGACTGACGCTCAGTAAGTTATAGCCGAGGCCTTCTGCGATTAAAACCTTGGTCATTTGTAGAATGACACTTGTTTCTCGTGACTGAAGTTGTACCACGCCTTGTCGTCGTGTGCGCAGGTTCTGGTTGTTGGCGACGGTGATGACGACTTCACGCTGGAGTTGGTACTCTCGTTGTACGAAGCGTCCTGAAGAGCACATGTGCTGTCCGCAGCAACTGTCCAAGAACCATGTGTCCTTCCCGGATGGCTCACTCTGGGCGATGGCGGCGTATGTCGGGTTCGGCTGCAGTGACTCGCGGCGGGGTGTAATGTTGTCGAGTTGTTCTTCCGGTGAGTAGTGTGGTGGTGATTCAGTGACGCAGGAGTCCGTTAACTTTGCCATGCAGCTGACGATGTTCCTTCCTCCTTGTGCAGGTTGTCCTGTTGAAGTTGTTGAGGCTTGAATTTGAGTCGTGGGATTCGCTTGCATTGAGGCAACTTGGTTGCTTGAGGGTCGAAGCTGTCGCTGTGGTGGCGTTGGCTGTTGTCGATTCGGGCAGTGCGTGCGCGGGTGCCCTGATGCCTTGCAGATGTGGCAGAACGGAGGTACGGGTTTTGGTTGTTGTCGGTTGCTGTTGTTGTTGTACCGTCGCTGAGTGTGAAACGCGAATTCCGGTACTGATGTCTTTCTCTTGTGTCGTTCTTCTTGCAGGTCCATGTCCTGCTGCTCGGCGTGGATTTCGGCGCAGAGCGCTGCTTCGGAGATTCTTCCGTGGGCTCGGAGAATGGCCTTTGTCGCGCGCCATTGAGGACCGAGGCCGCCGATGATGACTGTCACGAAGGCGTCTTCAGAGATTGACCCTCCGCATCGAAGAAGCTTGTCGCGCAGTTCGCGACATCGGCTGACATATGCCATCCCCTTTTCGCCTGGTTTCATTTCGACCGTTGTCAGTTGCGCCATTAGCCGACTTTGACTGACGCTGTCTGTTGCTTGATACAGGTCCTTCAGGTGCTTGTACGCGAGTTCCGCGGAGTTGCCGAATCCCCGGTAAGACCGTATGTTCTGCTGCTGAGTTGGGGTGATGTTTCTCAGTAGGATCGTATACGCCATCATCGACTGATATGTGTACTGCTGCTTCTCATACTGTGTACCGTTTGTTGGGTATGGCACAGACCCGTCGAAGAAGCCAAGTATCTGCGCGCCTTCCATCATGAGCTCGAACTCGAACGACCAGGTGAAGAAGTCTTTTCCGTCGAAGGGCCTTGACGTCTGCAGCTTCAAGACGTGCGCGAATTGCGACTGAACTTGTAGTGCATCCAGTTGTTTTTCTTGTCCAGGTGGAGCTTGCGGGTGCGGCATGAAGCTAATGGACCCGCGTTCGTACGGAGCAAAGGTAGGTTGTTGCTGATTTCCGCGCGCATATGATGAGCCGTCGAGACTCATTGGAGTCACGTTGTTGTTGCTGTTGTTTGACTGCGCAGGTGCCGATTGCTGGTGTTGCTCGTAGAACGACATGAAGGAGAAAAACTTCTCCATCATACTCTGGTCGAAGCTGGCAGGCTGGCTGGCTGAAGGCGCTGCTGGTCCCGTTGCGGTTCCTTCCTCTGTCTGCAGGCCAGAGGCAGGAGGTGGGGTAGGAGTAGTCCCGGGAGAACCATTAGAGGAACTCCTTTCCTTGTATGTTGCCATGTTGTCTGTTGATGACTTGATAGTAGTTTAAGTTCCCCTGATAGCTCTCATACCATGTTGGGCTGAGAAAAGCCCTTAGGATCTTTGCAGGGGTGAATTCGGGGTAGGATAATTGTAATAGCGGAAGCGTTTAATAAAGAAGTTGTGAACCACCTTGCGCTGGTATGTGAGGGCAAAGTAAGTTGATTAAAGCAAAGAGATACAAGCATTTATATATGAGTACAAGGAATATGAAAGGATACGGTTATAACTGCTTTACTGTTGCTGTTGCGGTTCGATACAGTGACGACTCGGGCAACTGCTCTGTAGCGAGTCAGTTGTGTGTCCTTGCTGTCGTGCTGTACTTGTCAGGTCAAAGGTCGCTTGACCTTTGACTTTCGCGTAACCTCCAGCAACCTCTTTTAACCTCCGAGGGTTGACTCGCGTGTGTGCCTCATTATAGTTTGCTTCGCTTCGGGTGCGGTGTTTCGACACAACAGAGGCGCTTAAGATTTACTGTTTCCAACAGCACGTACACCAGATCGGTATATAGCACGAACAAGTAGTCTCACGTTACGCTTAATCGTGATAATCTAGATACAGAACTCTATTTCTGGCCGAAATCCTCGATAACTGTGTTTTCTTATCGCGTGCGCTGTCTGATGACATCCCAAGGCACCATGCGTCCAAGTCGGTTCACCTATTGGACTCTCGTATTGCTCCACACTCACTCCACACTAAAAGGTCCACCCGCACCTTGCCCTTGCCTCTCGACTGCTCCGCCTCGCTCCGCACCGCAGTCTCTACGCCGCCCCTTCGCCTTTTCGCTCTAGTCTCCATTGCCCACAGCCATGCTTCCGCCCTTTGCGTCGCCCTCCGCTCGCGCGCTCAACGGGGAGGGTCTGCGCTGCTCCAATAGCTGCGGTCTGTCGTTGCTCGCGGCCGCACGACCTGCTTCGCTCGTGCCTGCGCGTGCCGCCCCAGTTTCCGCTGCGGGTACCGCTTCCGCTCGCGTGCGCGCAACGGCTGGACAGGGCAGCAAACCCGGGGGGCATTCGGAAGGGCGAAAAGTATCCCATGCGGAGGGGCGCTGGGCGGAAGGCTTCGCGACGGAGCAGCGACGTGGGGAGGGGGAGCGTTGGGCGGCGGAAACACAGTCGCAGAGACAGGGGCAGTGGCGCAGAACCGCGGGGAGAAAGGCGGGAAGTAGGGGTTCGCGGCAGCGAGTTGCTGGGTACGCTGATGAGGTGGCAGCTGAGGATAGGCTACGGCAGGAGCCAGGCGGCGCCGTCGATTGGCTGATGCGACCTTCCAATGGCGATGCGGGAGTGCAGTCGGCGCGCAACGGAGAGTGGGACACGGGGAGGGGGCGGGGTAACGGGGCTGCGGATTGGGATGAGGACGGCGAGGAGCAGGGCGCGCGGGGGAACGCGGAGGCTGGGGGGGAGAAAGGGGCGGAGCAGGAAGGGGGAGGGCGGAGGGCGTGGAGGGGTGGATGGGGGACGGTAACGTGGAGCGCGTGAGACGGTTTGGGGCAGAGGGACGCCGTGGGGGTGCGGTTGAAGGGTGGGAGGCCGGGTGGAGAGCAGTGGAGTACGGTGAATGGTGGCGAGGGGCCGATGGAGATGGGCGGGGGAGCACGGATGGGAGCATGACTGGGATGGTTGGTGGGGACATGAGCACGAGATTACAGCAGCAGCAGCAGCAGCAGCAGCAGCAGCAGCAGCAGCAGCAGCAGCAGCAGCAGCAGCAGCAGCAGCAGCAGCAGCAGCAGCAGCAGCAGCAGCAGCAGCGAGCATCAATGCAACTGCCACAATCATCACCCCCACAGCAGCAGCTGCAGCTGCAGCCCCTCTCCTCCCCATCCTCCCCCCTCGCACCCATCCCCTCACCCTCTCCCCTTGCCCCTGTCCCTCTCCGCCAGCCTTCCCCCTCCCCCGCCTCCTCCCCGCGCCCCCTGCCCTCAGTGCTCCCCCTGCCCCCCTCGGCGCTGGACTCGCTCGTCCCCTTGGCTGGTTCCGGCTCCCAGGTGCGCTGCCATGCCAGGCTGACGCATGCAGCCATCACTCTCAAGCATACTCTTGCACCCACCCATCCCATCCCATCCCATCCCATCCCATCCCATCCCATCCCATCCCATTCCATCCCATCCCATCCCATCCCATCCCGTCCCATCCCGTCCCATCCCATCCCATCCCATCTCATCCCATCCCATCCCATCCCATCCCATCCCATCCCATCCCATCCCGTCCCGTCCCGTCCCGTCCCGTCCCGTCCCGTCCCGTCCCGTCCCGTCCCGTCCCGTCCCGTCCCGTCCCGTCCCGTCCCGTCCCGTCCCGTCCCGTCCCGTCCCGTCCCGTCCCGTCCCGTCCCGTCCCGTCCCGTCCCATCCCATCCCATCCCATCCCATCCCATCCCACGGCACCTCACCCATGGCATGCTTTGCTCTTCCTCACACTCGCTCCTGCACTCACTTTCTCTGTCACTCCTGCGCTCTCTCTCTCTCCCTCGCTCACTCCCTCACTCCCTCACTCACCCACACAGGTGCTGGCCTTGATGGGAGACGCAGTGCTGTGTTAGAACGCCAATGTCGTCGCCACCATGACCGCCATGTACTCCCTCACTCCCTCCCTCCTCCCTCCTGCCCAGGTGGTAGCCTTCATGGGTACGCCCCTAGACTGGCTGCAGCGCTTTGTTCTGTCAATGGGCGGCGCGGTGCTGTGCTACAATGTGAATGTCTTCGCCACCATCGCTGCTGCCATGTACTTCCTCTGGTGGCCCCTCTGGCGCGCTGCTGCCTGCAACTCCGCCCTCCGCATCCGATACAAGCATGCAGGTGAGGGGGATGCGATACAAGTATGCAGGTGAGGGGGATGCGATACAAGTATGCAGGTGAGGGGGATGCGATACAATAGTTCAGGTGTTTGAGGTTTGGTATGAGCTGGGGGTGAGTGGGGAGCGATACAAGCATGCACAAGGGCATGAGATGAGGCAGAGCACATGCACAGAGCACATGCACAGAGCACATGCACAGAGCACATGCACAGAGCACATGCACAGAGCAGAGTCAAGCGGCATTCCATCCCCTTCCCCCGTGCGCCCACATTGCTCTCCCCTCTCCATTCATTTCCTATCCCACCTATGCATGATACATTTCTTGATTGCCAATCGTTTCCTCCCTTTTCTGTCCTTTCAGGACATGGCTAGCAAAATGTGTGGCTCCTAGGCGGGCAGAGAGGGAAGAGGTGATTGTTTCCCAAGTGGTGATTGCAGGCAGCAACATGTAACTCCTCTCTGTGCCACCTCCCCACATGCCACCTCCCCACATGCCACCTCCCCACATGCCACCTCCCCCACATGCCACCTCCCTGGCAGGCGTGTGGCAGGCGTGCCTCCTGGACGTGCAGGTGAAGCAGAGGGGGCCGCTTGCCAGCTGGCGGCTGCTGATTGGCGATGACAGCGGCACGTGCATAGAGGCAAGTGGGAATGACGCCAGGAGCACCCGCTGTGTCATATACTGCAACTGTCAATCCTGATAGTTTCACTTTTGCACGTTCCATGTCTCATACCCTCATGCCTGTTCCATGTCTCATACCCTCATGCCTGTTCCATGTCTCATACCCTCATGCCTGTTCCATGTCTCATACCCTCATGCCTGTTCCATGTCTCATACCCTCATGCCTGTTCCATGTCTCATACCCTCATGCCTGTTCCATGTCTCATACCCTCATGCCTGTTCCATGTCTCATACCCTCATGCCTGTTCCATGTCTCATACCCTCATGCCTGTTCCATGTCTCATACCCTCATGCCTGTTCCATGTCTCATACCCTCATGCCTGTTCCATGTCTCATACCCTCATGCCTGTTCCATGTCTCATACCCTCATGCCTGTTCCATGTCTCATACCCTCATGCCTGTTCCATGTCTCATACCCTCATGCCTGTTCCATGTCTCATACCCTCATGCCTGTTCCATGTCTCATACCCTCATGCCTGTTCGTGCATGCACACCAGCACCATCCTCTGGTGTCCTTCCTCTCTCCGTTCCCCTACCTCCACTCGTTTTAACCCTCGCCACAACCGCACGCCGTGCCGTGCACGGTGCTTCCCTTGTGGCAGTGTGCGCACAGATGCTCATGGACAATGCACCACATCCTCCCCCTCCCACCCCACCTGCTGCTGCCAACCCTGCCCATGTGACCCATGCCCCTTTTTGCCACCCCCCTTACGCACCCCTCTTGCGTGGCCTCTTGTGCCCCTGCGCACAGATGCTGGTGCCCATCCCCTCACCGCCTCCCCCGCTGCGCGCTAACAACCGCGTGGTGCTGCTGGTGCTCTCAGACAGCCCCTCGCTGCTGCATTCCCGCTCTGTCGGGGAGGCGTGGCAGCCAATCCCTCATATGTGACCTATGCCCCCCTTGTGCGACCCTCTTGTGTCCCTACCACGCAGATGCTGGTGCCCATCCCCTCACCGCCTCCCCCGCTGCGCGCTAACAACCGCGTGGTGCTGCTGGTGCTCTCAGACAGCCCCTCGCTGCTGCATTCCCGCTCTGTCGGGGAGGCGTGGCAGCCAATCCCTCATATGTGACCTATGCCCCCCTTGTGCGACCCTCTTGTGTCCCTACCACGCAGATGCTGGTGCCCATCCCCTCACCGCCTCCCCCGCTGCGCGCTAACAACCGCGTGGTGCTGCTGGTGCTCTCAGACAGCCCCTCGCTGCTGCATTCCCGCTCTGTCGGGGAGGCGTGGCAGCCAATCCCTCATATGTGACCTATGCCCCCCTTGTGCGACCCTCCTGTGTCCCTACCACGCAGATGCTGGTGCCCATCCCCTCGCCGCCTCCCCCGCTGCGCCCTAACGACCCGGTGGTGCTGCTGGTTCTTTCAGACAGCCCCTCGCTGCTGCGCTTCCGCGCCGTCAGGGAGGCATGGGTGCCGCGCCTCAGGTGCTGGCTGGCGGAGGAGGGGGAAGAGCGCGTGGAGCGGCGCGTTCTGGAGGGCTGGTGAGATGCGCGCGTGGGAGTTGAAGGGCTTTTGATTGAGATGCCTCAAAGGGGCCGTGCATGAGGCACGCGGGTGCGGCGCCTTGCATGCTGGCTGGCGGAGGAAGGGGGAAAGCGTGTGGTGTGGAGTGGCGCGAGCTGGGGTGGAGGGAGGCCTTTTGAAACGCACCACAGTTGCCATGCCACTGCTATGCAGCCATGGTGTGGCATCTCATGGCATGGCGTGGCAGGGAATGGCAGGGGCTGGCACTGTACATGCATGTAGGCTGCAACATCCGTGCACCTTTGATGATACTATACATTTGGAAAGGAAGTTATAAGCAGGTGAAACCGCTACCACTGGTATCTTTGACGAAGAGGCTACTCTACATTCAATGTTACACATTGTAAGGTCTAACTACCATCTGCAGTACACTACAACAAAATTAATAATGCCAATTCAAAGAAGAATGTGTACGCTACCCACCATCTCATTAGAAAAGGTTAACCCACTCCCCTCCCATGGCCATGTGGCCCTTACACGGCGGCTGCCAAGGGAGCCGCCTCCTCTGAATGTCCCCACTGCTCTAACCGGCTCGCAAGCTTCCTCTCATCCAGCCAGGCAGGAACCAGAATGATGGGCACACCACCACTACCTGCTGCTGCTGCACTGCCTATGCCTGCGCTCTGCTCCTCCTCCGCACTCACCCCTTGGCTCCCCTTCTTCACCCCTGTCCCCTTGGCTCCCCCCCTCTGCTGCTCCAACTCCAGGCGGTGAGCACGGGAGACGCCAGCACACCACAGCGTGCTCCTTCGCATGCCTTGTGCGTGCCGATGCATGCCGAGATAGCACAGGCACCGACCCTGCACAGGAATGTTGAGCGAGACTGCTTATTTCCAACCCGACGTCCTGTTCTCCGCTCACTGTTGCTCCCTCAACCACACCTAATGTGCGCTGCCTCCTCACTCACTCCCCATTACACTCACTCACTCACTCTTCACCCCTTGCGCTCCATCTAACCCCTTCCCTCGCTCCCACTCGCTATCTTTCTCACCCAATCCCCACAGCTCACTACCAGTCGCCACATCCCAATCCCCACAGCTCACCCTCTTGCCCCATCACTCACCCTCTTGCCCCATCACTCACCCTCTTGCCCCATCACTCACCCTCTTGCCCCATCACTCACCCTCTTGCCCCATCACTCACCCTCTTGCCCCATCACTCACCCTCTTGCCCCATCACTCACCCTCTTGCCCCATCACTCACCCTCTTGCCCCATCACTCACCCTCTTGCCCCATCACTCACCCTCTTGCCCCATCACTCACCCTCTTGCCCCATCACTCACCCTCTTGCCCCATCACTCACCCTCTTGCCCCATCACTCACCCTCTTGCCCCATCACTCACCCTCTTGCCCCATCACTCACCCCCCTCTCCCCTCACTCACCCCCCCTCTCCTCCCTCACTCTTCCCCTCTCTCCGCTTGAACTCAGCAACAAGGCTGTCAAACGACACATCAAAAGCATCCTTCCACTCCCCGTCACCACTCTCCATCGCACTGCCCTCCCCATTATCCCCCCTAACCCTCCCTTTCGCCCCCTCCCCGCCACGTGGCACTGCCATGTGGCGGTACAGCAGCTGCGGCACCAACTCCCTGATCCGCGCTTGCATGCTCGCGACCCGCTCCTCCGGGATCGCCGCCAGCTCAGCTGCCACGTCAGTCGTCCCATTCAGCACGCGTGCCTCGTCAAGCGTCACGGAGATGCTGCTCCTGTCTTCAGGGAAGTGCCACGGGTACTGCATATTAAAGCTCTCCTCTTTAAAGAACACGGGAATGCATCCTGCTAATAACGAGTCAAAGGTGGAGCGTCTAACAGAGCTGTCCCCCGTCGGTTGCAGGCAGAACTTGCTTTGCAGCATCACCACCGCCACCTGCCACGTGTCATAGCATCCCGACGGCACCCACTCCGCCACGTCCTCCCCCTCCGCGTCCCGCGGCGCCGCGCTCCCCACCACCGCCTCCACCGCCTCCCCCAGCGCAGTCCCCGCGTCCGCCGCCGCGTCCGCCGCCGTGAAGAGCGGCAGCTCCTGTCCCACCTCGTCGGGACCCGTGCATTTCATCCACAGGCACGTCGCGTTCCCCGCGCGCTCGCACTGCGCGATCAGCGCCTTCCGCAGCGGCCCGCTCGTGGTGCCCGAAGGGCGTCGTCCGCCCACGTAGGAGAAGAGGAACGGGCGGCGCCGCGCGGCGACGAGCGCGAGCCAGTGGTTGATTTCCTCGAGCGACGCGGGGTGGAAAGTGGTGGTGTACGGTACTGAAAAGATAGGCGTGGCGTAGCTCTCTCTATAAGGCGGCTGCTCGACTGTAAGGAATGTGACATTAGCGAGCTCTGGAACGAAGATGACGTTGTAATGCGGCGGGTCGTCCACTAGCTTGTGATTGGCAAAGTCCCAAATCGCTCGCCCCAGCACCACAACGTGGCGCGCTCCCTTGGTTCGCTGAAACGCGGGCTGCCCGAGAAGAAACTCCTTGAGTTGGTGACCCGGATGCGGCATGTGGCCTGGGTGAAGCGTGTTCTTATACGCGTTCCACCCCATATAAGCCGGCACTAGGAACACGTCAGCCTCGGTATCGTCGTGCGTGCGGCACGGGTGGTTCTCCAAGCGTGTGCGGAAGTGCGCTTCGATCTGGTGCTGCTCCGTGCTGTACCACCGGTGCACCCACGCCCACTCCCCCTCTTGCGCGCCTTCCGCTCCTTCCGCTTCCCCCTCCGCGCGCGCCGGCGCCGTTTTTTCCATCTTCGCCGCCAGCAGCGCGGCGATCAGAGCGCGCCCGCCGTCGCGGTCGACGGGGAGGCGGGGGCCCTGCGCGCGGTTGCGGAAGGCGTCGCAGGTGAGCCATGCGAGCAGCGGGTCGTTGTCGCACGCCGTGCGAACGACGTCGTCGTTGAAGATGGGCGGCATTGAGTAGACGAACACACGGCGGCCGTCGCACGATGGCTGTGCGACGGATGGCGACGCCTTAAAGCCGTCAGTTCTGTTGGGCGATGCTGGTTGCGACGGTGCTGATAGCGCGGTGGGGGAATCGTGAGCTTCGGCAGGGGATGATGACGAGGAGTCACCCGATGTGTCAGTGGTGGAATGTAATGCGGCAGCTGTCGCAGTGGGGGAATCGTGAGCGGCGGCAACGGGACCGCCTTCATTCTCGCTCAGAGCCGCACCAGACGCACCAGCGCCGTCGCTGTGGGCGGGGGGACCGGCTGGATCGAGTCGATCGCGATCCACTCCGCCTGTTTCTTCCTCACTGTCATCGCCAGCTCCGCGCCTCCCTTCATCCTCCCCAGCAGCCTTATCCACCTCTCTTGTCCTCTCCGTCCGCCCCTCACCCTTCCCGTTGTCCCCCGCACCAGTCGATCCACTGATATCGTCCGACAAACCGCCCCATTCGCGCCCATCTTCCAGCTCGTTGCCTTCCCGCGACCCACCCGCGTCTCCCGCTGACATCTCCTTCTCCGCTAGCAAGTCCGCGTCCTGCGCCGCTTGCTTGGTATTCAGCTTCGTGAGTTGCGTGTCCGACTCCGCCGCTACCCCTCCAGCGCCACTCGCATCTTTCTCACTCACCATCGCCTGCTCCCCCTTCTTCACGGGCGCATGCGCCTTCCCGCCGCCCACCTTTCGCGGCGCTTTTCTCTTCACATCACCTCCAGCTGCCACGTCGTCGTGCTGCTTCGCCGACTTTGTCGACAATCTCGAGGCTAGACTCTCGATCGCCAGCAGCCGTGCCTCCTCGATGGCAAGTTCAGACGGCCCTACGCCGCTTTCAACGGCGCTAAATGCGGGGAGGGAAATCAAAGGCCAGTGGAGCACGCCTGAGACCCATGCGGCGACGAGGAGCAGGAAGAAGAGGGCGGCTGGGGCTCGCAGCAGCGCCGCGTGATGCGGGGAGCAGAGCGCGCCGTGCAGCCACGAGAAAGGGTCGCGCGCACCCTTGGCGCGGGGAAAGGGGCATATTGTTCCACCTATTGCCGTGACGAGCGGGGGTTGCGGAGGCGGTGAGGAGCCGCGGCGTGATTTGGTTCGGGGGTCAGCGCGCGAGCTAGCGCTGTTTGGCGACGCCATGCTGACCTATCATTCAGTGACGCTGGCGTGGAAACGTTAACCTATTGAGAAATGAGGTAATATCAGTCGTGCGAGAGATGGTGGGTGTCTCCTAAAGGGTTGCGAGCACTGAGGAGGGAGGGTGCCCTTGAGAAAAAGGGGGAGACTTGTAAAAGTGGGGGGAACGGCACTCCGATGGTGGTCCATTCGTAGAAACGGGCGCCATGCGGCGCGGGGAGACAGGGAGATACGAAAAGGGTGCGAGGAAAGGACAAGAGAAGAGCTGAGCCGATGTCGGTCATGTTCACTGTATTCATTGGTTTGAGCTTTGAATGCTTGGGATTGGGACGCTGTTCACCACCATAGCTCGTGGGAAGAAACTCCGGAATCTTGGAACGAAGGTTCGACGATCGCTACGATAGTCTAGGGCGAGTCGCTCCAAAGTGTGTGGTGTTGGTGGAGCACGAAGGAAGATTATAACGCTGGATTGCTGCTTACTTAGCAGCAGCAGACCAGCACGGTTCCCCCGTGGCTCGACACACGCAAGTAGAGGTGAGTCAGCGTTCGCTCTTCCTCTGGATTGGCTGACAGTGCGCACGTCCCCCGCCTGATTCGTTGATTGATTGTTTCACATGCAAGTAGGCAAAATCATGCCATCCATCGACTAGGCGACCGCGACGCGAACCACAAGCCAGATGACGTGGCACATTGTGCAGCGAAGATGTATGGTGTAAATGGAGGATGAGGTCACAACCTCCCTACGGGTGGAGTTCGTGCCTGCACCCATCTGCAAATTTGCTAATGTCCCACTTCGAGGCGCCGTTGCCAAACAACCTTACGGGACGCGCCTCGGTTTTGTTGATCTCGCCGCGCTTCATTGGAAGCGCAACGAATCAAAAGGTCGAATTTGGTCGCGGGGAAGGCTGCTTGGAGCAAAGCCAAATGAGTGCACAACTCAGATTCTGTAAATGGTGAGGCTACAGCAACAAGGGTTACACCAGTCGCTCAAATCTAGTTATCTTCCATTGTGCAAGGAATTTTCCCTTTTCCTTACCGGGGTTGACTGCTACGCGTACAATGTCAAGAATTGAATGAATGTTTGACTAAGATTGGTTTGGGGTACATAAACCTAACCCTAACAGCAGTACCCCACATGACATGCCTCACTAGAGGCTAACATTTGACACACCTCCATAGCCTAAGTGAGGGATGCCATGCAACAACCAAACAGTACGGTCACAAGACCAGTCTCAAAGAAGCAAAGCTCAGGGTGGATCACAACGTCACCACACACTCTGAGCACAAGCAAAAGAGCCACAAGGCTAGTTCAAGAGTTCACAAAGGTATATGCACAACGTATAAACAAAACAAGTAGAGAACACAAGACTATGCAAGACGAGAACATGTGTCAACGAGACCTAACTGCACACAACACCTCTGGTGGTCACAAGGCGGAAGAGCCTTGGTGAAGATATCAGTAGTGTTTGCATCAGACTCCACAAACTCGAAGCGAGCCTGTCCACGCCTCTGCAACTCTCGCAGAAGAAAGTACCTGACGTTGATGTGCTTCACTCTGCTCTCCAGTCGCGGCTCACGACAGAGGAGAATCGACGCCTTGTTGTCAGTGAACAAGGTCGGTGCAAAGCTCGGCCGCTCACCAAGGTCGGTGAGCAAGAACATAAATCAGCGCAGCTTATGTGCAGCCATGGCTCCAGCGTAGATCTCAGCCTCAGCGGTAGAGGTCGAGACCGAGGAGGAACGCGTGGACCTCCACGAAACAGCTCCAGAGCCCAGGCTGAAACGATACCCCTGAGTAGACCTGTGGGTCTGGCGTCGTCAGCGTAAGAAAAGAGTAACAGTGACCAGTAAGTACGACAGACTGTCTCCCTCCAAGAACCAACCCCACGCCTGATGTCGTCGCTAGGTACTTCGCCACCCTCACAGCTGCTGTCCAGTGAACAGGACGGTGTCTCCCTGACGCAACAAAGCGAGCAAGGATGCTGAGAGGGAACATGTCCAAGTCATCAGGTACATGAGGCTGCCCACAAGCTCAGCGTAAGGACCACGAGGCTCGAACGGCTCGTCAGGAAAGGGTCCAGTGAGTCTGTGGTCAACAGCAAGAGGTGTGCGCTGTACTGTGGAGTGCTGAAGCTCGAACCGCTAAAGGACCTGCTGCACCATGTGTGACTGTGAGAGTGTAATGGTGCGAGCGACTCTGTCCCTGGTGATCTGCAGGCCAAGGTAGTGGCGCAGCTCACCAAGGTCAGTGCACGTGTGTCTCTTCTGCAATTCGGACTTCACGTCAGCCAAAGCAACCCTGTCAGCAGTGGCGAAAACCAGGTCGTCGACGTAGACCAGTACAAAGAACGGTGTGGAGCCACGACGAACAAACAGCGACGGGTCAGCAGAAGACGGCTGGAAACCGAGGTCAGACAGGGTAGAACGAAGGGTGTCGTGCCACTCACGAGGAGCCTGACGGAGACCGTAGACCGGTCGCCTCAGCCTCCACTGGGTCCCAGGGAGGAAAGTGCCAGTGAGGGCAGATGGACGACGCAACCAGACCTCCTCGTGTAGGCTACCCTGAAGGAAGGCAGTGGAGAAGTCAAGAGAGTGTAACTCGTAGTCTCTCTGTGCTGCTACGTGCAGTAACACCCAAAGAGTGGTCATCTTCGGGGTAGGCGCGAAGGTCTGAAAGAAGTCAACTCCCTCGCGCTGACTGAAACCTCTAGCCACATAACACGCATTGAAGACCGGAGGAGATCCCGGTGGCCGCTTCACCCTGAAGATCCACATGCCATCGACTACGTTCGCCCCTGGGGGGTGACCTCGTCGACGTAGGTGCCTGTGGATCTGTAGGAAGCCATCTGTGCGTCCATGGCAGCTCTCCACTGAGAGGCCCAAGGCCCTGACACTTCCTCAGCGTAAGTGCGAGGAGTCGGTATGTCAAGGGCGTCGGGGTCTCCCTCAGAGGTGAGCAGCATGGCACAGAGATGAGGGGAAGCAGCTCCCAGGAACTCTAGCTCAATCTGCCTGTCCTCTAGGGGGTCATAGCCAAGGGCAGACTCACTCGCAACAGCCAGAGGACTGGTAGGAGGAGCAGCCACAAGACTGGTGGCGTAGTCAAGGCGGCGAGTAGAGGCAAACTCAGTGACTGCGGCAGTAAGAGCGGAGACAGAGGACAGAGAGGCACGAGGGTCGGTAACAAGAGAGGCGAGAACACGAGAGAGAACAGGACGGTATGTGCGGTAGTAGTCGGTGACATGAGTAGAGAGGGAAGCAGTGAGGGCCGACTCAGGAGGAGAAGGAAGTACAGAAGGAGACGAACGAGGCGGACTAGAACGAAACAGGGCAGTACGAAGGTCAGTGACGGGAACAGGGGACGAGGGACGAGCACGAGGAGAGCGAGGAGTCCAACTGTGAGAAAGAGGAGGGGACAACGGAGGCTGAGAACGAGGGAAAACAGCTGGGGAGGGGTCAGGAGGAGGAAGCGGAGGACCAGAGATGGGAGGAGAGGGGGAGGAGGGGGGAGAGGGAGAGGGGAGACCGAGGGTCCGAAGATTAGAGAGAGGAGGAGGAGGCGGCGGCTGCTACTGTTCCTGCTACGGCTGCGGCTGCTGCACCTCCAGCTGCTGCTACTGCGGCTGCTCCTCCGGCTGCGGCTGCTGCTGCTGCTGCTGCTGCTCCGACTACGGCTGCTGCTGCTACTGCTCCTCTAGCTGACGTAGCTCCAGCTGCTGCCGCTCCAACTCTAGGCTCTCTCTCTCCAACTCCAGCTGCTCCTCACGTGCACGGCGAAGACGGGCCTGGTGCCGGGTCGGGTAGGGGTGCGGGCGCGGAGTAGTGTCCGGGGCAGGAGGACTACCCTCCAAGGCACCAGCCGCACCACCCCCAGAGCCAGCACCACCAGAAGTAACAGGGTCAGCCCCTAGCTCTCTAGGTCCAGCAGAGGGCGCACCCCCAGTCGTAGCACCCCCAGGGACAGCTCGACTAACACCAGCTCCCCGAAGACTAGAGTCTCCTGCAGTCACGGGCTCAGCTCCAACTCCAGCACCCCCAGAACCAGGACCTCGCACAAGGACGCTATCAGCTCTGACTCAAACTCCTCTAGAGCTAGCACCTCCAGGGTCCTCGCCACGAACACCGGCTCCCGCAGGGTCTGCAGTAGGCTGTGAGGAGGACTGCGGGGAAGGAGGGTGTACCTGAGGGGCTATCGAGGGGGGAGGGGTAGCGTGGGACACACCTGCTGGGGCTGGACTAGGGGGGGGAGGCTGTACCGGGGGAGCAGGAGGGGGAGCGGAAGTCAGGAAGAGAGGGGGAGGAGGAACCGAGAGAACTCGACAGGGGTACCTGACGTAGTAGGGGACACTCTCGTCGAAACGGACGTCACGGGAGTCAAAGAACCGGTGAAGGGGAGGGTGGTAAAAGGTGAAGTCAGAGGAGTCCTCTGGGAAACCAAGGAAGACACAGGGAACGGCGCGAGGCGAGATCTTGTCCGCGGAGGTGTCGCGAACAAGTGCCAAGCAACCCCATATACGAAAGCGCGACGCAACACCAGGGGACCCGGTCCAAGAATGGTCGGTGAAACCTCTGGCCGAGAGACACGTGGCAAAAGGTTCAGCTGGTGAGTGGCGTACCAAACAGTGTAGGGTTATAGAAAATGGGGGGCACGGGTGTGAGTCATAAAGGTGCGGGCGATCTCCATGACCAAGCCTATGCGGCGCTCAGCAACCCCATTCTGCTGTGGGGACTCTGGAAGCGTCCAGGACTGACGGATGCCCTGCTCGCGACAGAATCCAGCGAGTACGCCAGAGCGAAACTCACCCCCGCGGTCGGAGTGAAGACAGCTGACACGACGACCACGAGTGTCTGCAGTGGTAAGTAACCACCTGATCAGCGTAGAAGTCACCTCAGACTTCTTCGCCAAGGGGAACACTGTGGTGTAGCGGGAGTAGTCGTCAACGACCACAAAAAAGAAATGCTCGCGCTCAGGACCAGGGCGAGAGGCGGGGCCCTAGACGTCC